ATTTAATTACAGATAGAAAGATGTCAACCACAAACAGGTGATCTTCAGAGCCCACCATGGTGATGATCTTCAGAGCCCACCATGATGATGTTGGACAAAAAGTCTAATACATCCTTGTCTATTTCTCTTTGAGTCTTGCAACATCATTAACTGATTGTTAATCTAGATTTAACCAGTTTGGAGCAGTTTCATTTAACAAGGAAAAAGTGAACAAGTTGTATTATAAAGATGTATCAATGTTTATTTCTCCCATCAGGGAATTTCATTTTTGACATCATCAATCATCTCTCCCTCACAATAAACTCATTGTTTTCATCCACAAACATTTTTTTAGAAGGAATTAAATTAAGACAACAATTGAATAAAATTAACTATGAATACATGAAGTCATTGAGTTATTGTTTTTGATGAGTGTAACTCGGTATCAGGATACAACAGTATCCCTTCCCATTTTGGAGTCAAAGTATTTTTGTGATAAATGCTGTTGAAAGTGTAGGTCCAAGTCAGAAAAATGCAGAGCAAATTCCAACTACTCTTTGTTGCAGATACAACACACTGTACAGGGTCTCTACCTAAATTACTTATTATCAATGTGCACTTTATGGGGTCACCTGCCTGACCACGCATGTTTTCTCGGAGTACTTCGTTTTCCACCCACATTACAAGACCCCCAACATGCTATCATCCAGGCCATCAAGAGTGATTAATTTAATTTGATATAACTTGTTTCATAATAGTTGTTAAAGAAATAAAGTTTATTTTTTATGTGCACTTATTTCACAATTTTTCGAAAAATTATCTAAAAGATTTCAATTCATGAAAATACCAAGACCAGTTCACAATTTGTTTAAGCATTCTTGAATATTTTTTCTTAAGTAAGTAGACGTCTTTCCTTCAGTAATTAATTTATGTCTAGAGATTTAACTGACTCCTGTGCTACCTGATCAGTAGGCTGCAGACACTATTAGTCTCATTACAAAACACTTAATCTCTTCATGTTGTGTTATAATATATTCACAAATAGCATGGTTCATATTTAGAAATATCTAAAAAGCACACATACAATCATCTATTCTTGATATTAAACTTAAATTATTGAAACAAAGCATAATCAAAATATCTTGCACTTGTTATAGAAATAAAATACACAAAAACTCTTACTTATTTTTGAAACAAAATAAGTACACACACATTCTCTGTTATAGCATTACGGTGCACACACAGTCCCTTATATCCTTCTTATATCAGCAAGTCATTCACTTTTATTCTTTATATTAAGTAATCATTCACATACAAAACATCAAAACTGTTCTAACACTTTCACCACTAGACAATAATGGACTCATCCATATCAATTCATGGTTGAGTCTACTAAAGTTATATAGGGGTGAAGGGGTTAAACAATAAATCAGGTTTGTCCTTTCTATCATTCAGAAACCAATCTAGCACCTGCTGATACATCAATACAAATAAAACTTTCAATAAAACATTTTTATTCCATTAGTATACTAAAAGCATATTTCTTCTTCAACAATTCTCATTAACACTAAAACAACATATCTCCAACAGTAACATTTCTCCTATTACAGTAGAATCTCATAGATCTGGATATGCTGGTACTGGCCAAAAATACTGTAGGACCCAATTTTCAGGAAAAGATATATGCTTCCGAACTCCTAACATTTGTGTATGTAATAAGTGCTTCTGGCATAGAACAATCTCTGATGATTCATATTTATCAGAATGTATAAGCGAGTCTCTGTGTCATCTGTTACTAAGCAGAATCCAAATTATCAATCATTCACATTTGATTTACAGGCTGCTCAGTGCAAAATCCTTTGCCAAAGAGATATACAGGTATGTCACAGAAAGGTAGCATACAGCCTTAAGTCTTTATGTAACAGGAAAGTAGCATACTGCCTTAGGTCTTGATTTAACAGAAAGGTAGCATACTGCCTTCAATCTCTTTTTACCTCTAGTCCCTATGTCACATAAAGGTACCATACAGCTTTAGACTCCATGGGAACATTCGCATATGCAGTTGAAACGGTTGAACCGGTTGAACCTGTAAAGAAAACGACGGGTACAGATCTGTACCGAGGCTGACCTAAGGAAAATTTGGCACGTGTAGATTGAGGGGTCCAGACGTACCTGCACGAAACTAACATGCTGACTATTGCAAGTTTGCGTTATTTTTTTCTAAAATAATGCCAAGCCACATGTAGTTTTTAAGATACGTTATGTAATTCAGTGGACGCGTGAGAGAAGGGCATAATATTCTTGATACATTGTTTTTTATTCTACGAAACTGTGCATTTTTAGCTCTGCTTATAGAACGGTCCAAGTGCGTTCGTTTATCATGGAATATTTCTGCGCCACACGTACCATTTCAACCGTGATATGCGAATGTAGCCTAAGTAACGTATTATTGCAAGGTCGCATACAGCCTTAAGTATCAAAATGAGAGAGCAACATATTTTCCCGGATTATCCGTGACTGGATTTACAAGGTCCTACGGTACATCATCTAATGCTGAAAGATCACATCAAAATACCTTTTTAAATTCTGGACGCATTTCTCCTCAAAGGGAAATAACTCAAGTATACATACATTTAATGACATGGTAAAAGCACACATTTGAACACATTTGACATTGATAAATGCTTAGGAATCCATGTATAATAACTTACTATGAGAATATCACACACTTGAGCATAATCACATCATTGCCATGATCACACAGATAATTACACACACTACTTTATGACTTATCAATTAAAATAGTGAGGCATGTCAACTAGGCTTAAAATTAATTTAACGGTATGAAATTTTAATAATTAAATGGCATGAAAATAAATATGGCAACAAAATTGGTAAACAACTGCTTTAAATAATGGTACCACGCACATTGCAGAATAAGTTGATCTGGGGGCCTGATTTATTTCTTTTTTTTTCATATGGGTGTAAAAATAAAATAAAAATGACCAAATGACTTCAAAACTGATCATTTTCAGTGAAACTATAAAATTATCGCAACTTTAACAGATTTTTATTGCCAACATTCATTTCTTACCAAACATTTGGATCAATATTGATATAACCTGATGAAGTGAAGATTAACATCTTAATCATTTAAGTATCATAATTTACGTAAATGATTCCAAATGCATTGTCAAAAAACGAATTAAATGTAAATTTGTAAAATCTGCATTTTCCATTGCCAATTTTGTCCATACTTTAAAGTTTTCTTTAATTTCTTTAACTGATTTATATACTGAATATAAGGTAATTGATTGAAATATGTCAATATCTGATTACTACTTTATGACGTCTTATAAACTCAATCTGATTACTATAATACTCGATCAATCAATACTGATTCATTGACCGACTTAAATACTGATGTACATATATAAAATACAGCAATATCAGTTTACAGTGTCAATCAAAACACTTGAAGATTTCCTTATTTTTTTGATAACTTATTTCTTGTCATGAAATTGATTTAACTCATTCACCCCTGAAGACACATTTAAACCCTTCCAATTCAAAGGTTGGAATAGTTCATTATGAAATTTCAGGGGTGAATGAGTTAACTTCTTCATTTACAAAATAATTTGATTGAAATTGATCCCATTGTTAGGAACTTCTCAATTAAAAAGAAAATGAGCACAAAGTTCATGATCCATCTGACCTTACACTGATAAACTAACTGTAGACACAGAACATCAAACCAAATACATTATTTGAATTTCTGGATCTAGACAAAGGGAGATAATTGATGAAATTGAACAAAAATAATAAATGAAATAACTATAAACAGGTTTGTAAATGGTACAGGTTTGTAAATGGTACCAACATATTCAATATTTCACAAATATCAATCATTTGAAAATGTAACACAGTTAAGGTTTTTTTCTGATCCATGAATAAAGGACAGCCTATAATTTTTAGACAAAAAAATATTAATAACTGAAAAAATGATAATCTACACAATATTTGACTACAATATAGATTTTTCACTAATGCTAGATTGAGATTCCAAATTTCCTACATTATTTGTTAGTTATCATAGACTGACAAACTTATAGCTGATAGCACATGTCAATTCAGTATAAATGATAGTAAAGCTGATGCCAGATAGAAACGAACAGCCCAGTTTAATGAGGTAAGTGCTTTGACTTCGGACCTGAAAGGCACACTACTAAAAAAGTGACATAAATGCAAGACACGAGAAAATCACTACTGAACAAAGCATTTACTGCTTACATGACTGCCAAATGAAATATAAATGGTTGAGAGGATTCAAGTCATGGGAATGAATGAAAAAAAATTAAGAAACTCCTCAGGCGGGAATTGTTTGAGATCTTCCATTTCTCTAACCTATACAGATATATATGACAAATTCAAACATTAAACAACTGGAATGAAGGAGAAATGAAAAATGAGAGAAAAGAATCAATTTTGCATAAATTATGATCTGTGCCAAAATATAGTCACAAATCAACACCTTTTCTGATTAAAAACAAAGGAACTTCTTGAAAATTCAAAGACAACACAACCTAACTTTTCTTGCAAATGGGATAACAACATGATGACAACACAAAGTCATACTTATTACACTCAGTGATAATAAAACAGTATTCTTCTACTACATTTTTAAGAAATGTCTGTTGTCAAGTCTATACCAACCATCACCATTGACAACTGATTACATGTTTTACAGTTTTAGAATTTCCAATGATTATCAAACGACCATTACTCATTTATATCTTGCCAAAACAACCTACTTGTATTCAATGTTCCAGAGTTTATCAGTAAGGTCATCAGAAAGTGGGGGGAAAATCTGAATCAAGTTAACCCTTTCACCACTGTAGACCATAATGGACCCCTCCATATCAATGCATGGTAGAGTCTACTTAAGTTACATAGGGGTGAAAGGGTTAACTGGTACTTCTAGCTTCAATATCTAAATGATATGTTTAGTTGAGTTTTCAAACTTTTTTTTTAATTAGCCCAGAAATACAAGTATTTCTCTCATTTCTCTGTGTGTAAGATAGAGCTGTCCAGGGTAGTAAGAAAGGGGTGGAAGAAATTTCTATCTTACACCCCATTTCACGTGACGTTAATGTCACAATGGCTGAACAATGACGTGACATCACGAATTTGGAAATCTCTGATGCTGCAACGCGGAAAAGATGACGTAATAAAATTAATACCTTTTATGATATATTTACCGAATACATTAGAAAGATGCGATTAATTTTTCAGTGCAAACTTTGTTTGCAAATATTGGATATGCTTAATCTGGCTGACAGGTTCGTTTTCGTCTAAATAGAATATGGAAAAAATTGATATTTTCAAAATGGTAGCCAGTTAAAACTCACTTCCATGGTTTCTGGGCTTATTCTAGTGGCTTTCATGCCCAATGGTGTAAGATAGTGAAATTCTACCGTCAGGATTTTCAAATTTAACAAAACCCTCGGCAATGCCTCGGGTTTTATCAAATCTGAAAACCCTTTGGCAAAACATTCAAATAAATAAAAAAAAGTCCCAGAAATGCCAGTTATGTAGCTAGCACTGTCAATGGAACAGCAGGAGGCCAATCACATGACACATTCTCCTGGATCCTGGTGGTGACACGTGACCAGATGATTTTATCTACTGTAAAATGACAGCCACTTCAGAAGTCTTTTGGTGTAGCCAAACATCATGTGATTCAATGACTGTAAAAGGACTGGCCACCTCAGATTTCTGTTGTTGTAGCTGACGATCACATGACCACAGTAACTATGGCAATATCACAGACGAACAAAGTCATCGCCACGACAACCACATAGTTTATCAGGTCACATGACTGCACACTGTCCCTCTGGTGCTCCTGGCAGTTTAGGCATTCCATTATCATCAAAGTCAAGCCCAGGTGCCTGTCACAAATATACACATATAGACATCATTGTTGTTGAAACTTCATGTTTCAGTTTCAGCTCATAATATATTCAAAGCAGAAAAAAACAGTACTATTCTTAATTACATTTAATACAAATCAACAACACATACATTTAACAGATCTATCATGATAACTCTAATCTATGTTTGTCATTTAATAATTGAACTGCTCTCAGTTGACATTCATAGGCAATGTGAATGCCAACTGAAAGCAGTTCAATATTTATATTTACCATTTTTGGAATCTGTTCATCTCATAGACAATTCCATTACACTTATTATTATTCAGCATTTAGTTCAAATAATGAATGCATTGCATCGTATATGCTTGTTCAATGAATAGAAAAGCTATCGCCCTGAGGATCAGTGGTATCCAATGTTACAATAATGATGTTCTGATAAGGATGACATTAACAATCAGTCCATGGTATTTATAGCCTATATGAATGCCAACTGAATTTGATAGGGTTATAAAGTGGGAATGCCATAGGATGGTAAATATAGGAGAATGTAGGCTAATATTATGACTTGATAACAACAAAGAAGTTGCAACGTATATCATTTACCTAATAACTGATACAAAATTACCTCAAAATAATTTAAAATAGAACTACATTTCTTTGCAATCAGTACATTATAAAATTGCTAAAAAAAATGATGCTACAATCAAGTTTCTGCATTCCATGAAAACTTGCGGGTAGTGGCCAATCCAAAACTGCACAAAAAACTTGCTCAAAACCTTTAACCTCAAGCCTTAACATTTTTTAACTAAGTCCAATTATAAAGCTGTTTTTAGCCCCTAGAATATAAAAATATGGTTCAGCACATTGCTTACACTCCATATAAATACTTCAACCTTATAATAGACAAAAGCCTATTGACAGTGGTGATCCAACACTACACAAAAAACAAAAAAATGACCAAAAACTAGCCTGAAGCTTGCCCCATAAACTTTAACCTGAAGCTTGCCCCAAAAACTTTAACCAAGTCCAGTTAACCAGTCTTGGCCCCTAAAACTCCATATAAATGCCTCAATCTTATAATAGACAACAGTGTATTGAGTGTGAAGATCCAACACTGTCTAGAAAAAACTTGCCAAAAACTAAAGCCTTATTGAAGTGGGACGCTGAGGTGACTACATTAGCCCCCTTATTCTCCGTATAGGCGAGCTCATCTTCGCTAGCCAAGTGTTCGCTTCGTATACACCCCACTTACCCTTGGCGGATATAGCCGTGTTTTCATAATTCCCTCCACTGCCACTAGCGGATATACCAAGTTATCGCTCTTCTCCCAAAATACTTTTAACCAATCAGAATGACCGTTACATACAGACTACATCGGCGTGTTGACAAAAGTATAAATGACAGAGCAATATGGAAACAATCCAAAGGCAGCACACATATTTTCCCAGGTCATCATTTACATGTGGAACAAAGTCAAGGATTTCCACCAACTGATTTAAAACTCCAGAAGTTTCCCCAAAGATCGTGCGCCTATTTTTTGGGGGCAAAACACTCTGACATTAACGACAATGTGCTTCCGTACAGGGCGTCGCCATTACTGTTTTCCTTCGTCAACAGTGCTATATGTAAGATGCGAACGATTGGCACTGCACTAAAATTTGAAGGCTCAGTAAACACGGCTATATCCGCTAAGAGTAAGTGGAGTGTATACGAAGCGAACACTTGGCTAGCGAAGATGAGGCAAGCTATAAAGAGGAAAACATAATATGAAAAGAGGATTTGCTCACCACCTTTTATCACACATGTGCTGACCGTAAACATAACAACTTACCATATCACCAACAATGTCTTTTGGAGGTTGACCCAGTTCTTGCATCTATCAAAACAAAAGTGTCATTAATATTACAGAGATATTCACAGAATTCTGGATAAAAATCTAAAGAAATGAAGTTGCTATAGCGATGACACTGAATAAGTCGATGATTTTCTATAAATAGCAACAGTGATCTTGGCCTTGACCTTGGAAGCCTCACATACAATTCATCAGAGGAATTCTCATATTTGACCCTTGTTTATAGTTTAGAACAAAATCCTTCCAAAAATAAAGTTGCTTGAGGGATGCCACTGAATTCAGATGGAACCACACTGGACGGACACCAGTAACACAGTATGTCCAACCTAAAAATGACCAGGGCATAAAAATGTGCCAAAATTACATAACCTTTAAAAACAAATTTTGCCAACTTTGTAATATCACACAAAAAAACTTGTTTCCTTTATCATCCTCAGAAAAAAAGGGCAGGTAGGTAGGCATTTTTTTATTATTTTGGAAATATTCTTACTATGCTTAATATATATATATAAGAGTTCTGACTTAAACAGCGTATATCACTAAATGTCAGTAAAAATTTCAAGGTTTGCATAAAAAACAATTACCTTTTGCATTTTATCTACAATCTTTTCAAATCTCAGCTTTTTCACTTCCTCTGTTTCAGAATCTTTTTCGTTTTCAAACTCCTCACATATGTCCTGTATGATATCGAGCTGGGACTTGTACTTATCTAGTTGTGTCTTCTCCGTCTTCTCGTGGTTCTCCTCCAACCATTTGGGATACTGAAGTCACAACGAAATATCCAGAACATATTTAATGGTTTCTTCTTCAATATATTATACAGTTTGTAGATACCATAAATATTCTCGTGGTTCTCCTCCAACCATTTGGGATACTGAAGCCACAGGGGTATGGATCGCTTTACTTGTAATATTAAAAAAAGGGGTCTCCTCTACTAAAAACTTTTTTTAGTAGAGGAGACCCCTATTTTTAATATTACAAGTAAAGCAATCCATACCCCTGTGACTGAAGCCAAAAACAAAATATAGAGAACATATCATAACTCATTCACCCCTAAAGACACATCTGAACTCTTCCAATTCAATGGTTGGAATAGTTCATTATAAAAATTTCAGGGGTGAATGAGTTAATAATGCTTTCTCCTTAAATATCATATACAGTCTGCAGATTACATAAACATTCCTATGGATGCCAAGTAGGAGTGAAATCATTGTAAAAATTCTGACAAATGAGTGAATTTTTTTTGATATTTAGAGGTAAAACCATTACAACATGATTTCACCACTGAATGGTAAAAACAGTGTATGTATTGGGCCATGTAACTGTACATAGTCACAATCACATGTTGTCATTGTATTTGATGTCAAAATCAAATTTAAGTCACCATTGCAGTAAAAATGATCATCTCATCAAACTGGACAATTCCACACATTTTACAATTTCAGTGACGCCAAGTCTGTAACTGATTAACACTTTCAACACTGTAGACCATAATGGACTCATCCAGATCAATGCATGTGAGAGTTTACTAAAGTTACATAGGAGTGAAAGGGTAAACCACTGCAGCATTCTAATTAGTAAACCCTAGGTTTTACAATCACACAAATTCTTAAATAATTCTATTGAAATATAAGGATTGTTTTTATTTTTATTTCAGTTATGGATCCCTTTCTCACAATGTGGTGGTTTTAAGTTCTCTGCGCTATTTATAGCCCTGAGACTATACTAGCCATGAAACTAAAATGTTGTCGAGGTTTAGCTTGTCATTACATTCCTGCTCTACCTATATGTTTGTGTAAGAATGGCAGTAGACCTTTACTAGTACCAGGGTTTGAATGCCGCTCTAGCCCCGTTGAGTTTTTACACTCCGGACAATATGCTGTTGATTATATTTTGCTTATTCCATTTTATTGATATTTCAGAAAAGTCCCACAAAGGATGGTTTTCAGAAATAATTTATCAGCGCTATAGTCAGGGAACAGTACAGTCTGACCACGGACAGGTTTTACTTACTTTCTGTGACATTTCCTTGAGTGACGGATACAGTATATCTTTAGACAGTAAGTTTTTCATCATCCCTTGCATCATTGGCATGAATCCGTCCTGTCCTTCCTCCAGCCCCATACTGGTGAAGGCTTTCATCAGCTCATCCTCTGACATCTCGTCCTGCAAGATACAAGTTTATCATGTTTTATTACTTACTTACTAATAAATACGGGTTTTTTGTATATGCGATACGACACAATTGCTCTAACCCATATCAGCCCTCGCCGTATCACACCCCAAAACCCGTATCAGNTCTCTATATATACTAGAACACCTGGTACACATAGACAGAAATTGGACAAAAACTACAATTAACCTTTCCATTATTGCTGTTTCCATTTTCTGGGACGATGAGAATAATATGCAAACAATATGACACATACCTGAGCCAAATTTACAAACTCAAGCTAATATTCAAAGTTCCAAAAGAGAAAGATACGTGAATGATAATGCCTCGTTTCCAAATCTTTCCTTTGTAGATCAACGGAGGTAACTGTAATGCTGGCAATATGTATAATAGGAATTTTGTGACACAGACCAGCATTAATTTCACCCATAAATAAAATGTCATTGCCCCAAAGAAATTCATTTGAAGCTGACAGTGTCAGGGTATCAACAAACTTGTACAACAACATAAGAGTGTCACACCTACCCCTAGACCCTCCGAGTTCTGGGCCAGACTTGACAGAGTTTGTGATAGAGTGCTTGCAAACTCTTGTTGTGCCTCTGCTGAATTTCCTGTAAAACAAATGTTAAAGTTGTAAAAAAATTGTTCAGTTTTATTCCTGTTTTATGAAAACATTTCTGATTTTCACAAGTTTAACATTTGCCAGTGTATTTTTACATGATAGCTATCTGGGATGATCAGTTGTTCAGTGTTTTTGTAAACTAAATTTTACAACAGCCTGTTCCATTATGAATTGGGAAAATATAACTTATATAAAAACATATGACTAATATAGGAATATTTTTTTCTCGACTCAGACAAGAATGTTATTAATACAATGATTCATTATATTTATCATGATATGTCACTCACAAAAATTTGACTTCTTATAAGAAAACAGGTTATAATAAATTCAATATGGATTTTGTCTCCTCCTTTGAATCTTACTGACTTCCTTTAACTCCAGCCACGCTCGCTATAATTCTCATTGATCCCTTATTCCGAGTTATCTTCTCTTGGGAGAAGGAATTGGTTGTTACGTCACTTGTTTATGAGAGTAACGTCATCAATTGTTGAGAAAACGACGTAATTTTCTCACACAAACCAATGACGTAACAATCAATACCTGTTCCCAAGAGAAGATAACTCTGCAATACGCAAAGACGGAATAACTCTTGCCTCACAACCCATGAATCTTACTGCCCCTTGTAACTGTGGCCTCAGTTCCTATAAATCTTACTGGTCCCTTGTAACTCTTGCCTCACAACCTACGAATCTTACTGGCCCCTTGTAACTGTGGCCTCACACCCTACAAATTTCACTGGCCCCTTGTAACTGTGGCCTCACACCCTACAAATCTCACCGGCCCCTTGTAACTGTGGCATCACACCCTACAAATCTTACTGGTCCCTTGTAACTGTGGCCTCAGTTCCCACAAATCTTACTGGCCCCTTGTAACTGTGGCCTCACACCCTACAAATCTCACTGGCCCCTTTATTCCTGTAGAGTATCAAATAACAAATTATAAAACAATGAATTTAAGATTTCCTGTCCCACTACATGCAAAACACTGGATAATTCCACTGCAGGTTTTCCATACCTGTAGCAACTTCCCCGTAATTTTGTTTCCGATGGTTGAGTTTGGCCAGAGAAATTTGGTTTGGTTTGGTTTAGTATTGTTTAGCATCCTATCAATGGCTATGGTCATTTAAGGACGGCCTCCCCTGTGTGCAAGATACATGCGTGTAGTGTATGCGCGTGTGTTTTGGGAGGCTGGGATATGTTCATGTTTGTCTCCTTGTGATAGCGCGGAACTGATGCCGACTTTATAGTGCTACCTCACTGAAACATACTACCTTTGACCAGGTATCTTAGTTGGTTAGAGTGACAGTATAATGATTGGAGGTCAAAGGTTCAAATCTCAGTCTGGGAACACTACTGTTGATATTCTTATTGCATCTTTATTATGTTTTTCATGAAGTTTTCCAAGGTATTTTTTTTTCTTTTTATAAATAATTTGTTTTACGCTCACTTTCGCTCTCTACACCCCTGGAAAATGTCATAGCAAAAATGAAGGCACGTGGCTAGCTATTTGACTGGTGCCGGGGGAAAAAAACCTGACCAATCACTGGTCTGATACTTGTCCTTTAAAGATTACAAAGGAGTGACACCCAAACTCAAAGCGTCATTTTTTACCTTTACGCGACCGCGAGATTCTTTTGATGTACATCAATTCTCGTCTCATCCACAAGGTGTTGCACACTTAGCCATCAATTTTGCTATGACATATTCCAGGGGTGTAGAGAGCGAAAATGAGCGTAACACCTGGATATCGAGGATGTCGAGAGAGGAGCTATGACTTAATCAGCAAAATAGATGTTTTCAGGGGTGAAAATCACTACGGAAACTTCTAGCTAAGTAGTATAATGGCTACTACAACCAAGTAACAATCTAGGTAAACCTGTCACCTGCACTGTCAGCAGACTCAGAAAGTTTCTCTATCTGCTGAAGCAATGCTGGATCACCGCCCATCAAGTTCTTCATTGCATCCTCAAACTGTTTACTCATCTCATCCGAAAACTCCTCAGCAAACATTTCTGACATCGGGTCAGTCTTGTCCTCAGAACATTTGGCATCCTATGACATACAATGTAACAGTGATGCAAGTGTTTTTTTTAATTAATCAATTTCTGTAACAAATTAAAAACAAATATAGTGAACAAACTTTGATATTTAGAAGGAAAGCAGTTTCATTACATTTTGGTACATTTTAAAGTCCAATCCTTACAACTAGGTTTTAAGCTAGCCAGCAGTAAAAACTTTCTTGTGAAGTAAAGAACCGGTCCACATTTGAATGAAGGGTACTACTATAGGAAAAAATTTCCGGTAAACCCTTTATCATTAAGGTGAAATTTAGTGTAAACTTCGGCCTTTTCAGGTACCTACCCCACTTGCAGGAAATCCCCCAGTTGGTCCGAGGACTACAGTTGGCTTTTCTACAGGAGCTGGTTTTTCAAAGTCCTGCAGTGCACCTGTAAGTAAGTAACATTAGAATCAGACACAAACAATTGGATGAAGTCTGTATTATCACTAACACATTTGGTATCTGTTCAATTGTTTGATGATTATCTCCCTTTTTCTTCTTATTATATTCATAGTTTGCACAAATGGAATGGATATATATATATGTGTGTTTACATTTAAGGGTTAAGGGTGTAAACCCATTGTTTAAAGTCCATGTTTTGGAGGTGGAAACCTGAATTCTTATGCCTGTATCAGTTTATCTTAGGTATGATACCAGGAGCAAATTGAAATGTGTAAAAAAAACAACTGTGATAGTTAACATGGAATTGTGCATTACTATATTTTATTACATTTTTACCAGTGAAATATTGAAAATCAATCATTCTATAAAAGTGATATTTTTCACAATATTTCTGATTTGACCAATCAAAATATTGATTACAAACTACCATGGAAAAATTACAAGTGGTTAGCTTAATGATATGCAGGCCTCGAGAAAATCCGTCTGAAACATCAGCCGATTCTTCTACCCAAAATATTCATCTTTTACCTATCAATGGGATATTATTCTCTCTGGGAAACACAATGTTTAATTCCACAGTTAACTTTCATTTTCGTGAAAGCCAGCATACTATGCAGGTCAGCGATTCTAACTATTTGATTGGAGAAAATTCATGTCAAATGAAACACAGTGTCAGCGTCTCTAAGTCCAAACTTAGGCTAAGCGAATGGCAGAAACTATAAGAGAACCAGGGTCATAAGTATATGTTGTTATTTTATTATCAGGATAAGTGGTGACAAAACAACTCTGAATTTTCCCCACTCCCCACTATTGTAGATTCAACGCTTATCAACAACGAGTAGTGATCTGAGTTGATACATAATTAAATTATGATAGTAATTTGGCATACTTCATTAAAAATAAGAACTTAAGTGCCTACTTAATAAAATTAAGTAATTCAAGGAAATCTATTATGAATTTTAACATTTTATTATTATTTTTGCATATATAACTATATTTTGTCGCACAGGGTTGTCTAGATATATGCTAGACGTAAAAGTATCCAGATCAAGTATTGTCAGCTTGATGTGTTGTTTTGCCTTTGAGGGAAGGTTTTCGCAAAACAAAATGTAATCAAAAGAATATCTGACAGTGTCTTCAGTGATACCAAATATCTTCCACTCTCGTGGCTAGTTGTCTGTGTTTACTCTACCTATCAAAACGAGAAACAAATTTTTTCTTACGCTTCTTTTTATGTTTTATAACCACATCCTAGTATTGCAGTTTTAGCAATGTGAATATCATTTCATAAATTTAATACCAATCGTGCCATGTCACAAACCACATTAATAAAAGCAGGCTTCGGTCAAGGTGGACATTGTAACCTTTTTCAGTATGGCGATATATTGAAATAATCCATCCAATATTGCGATTTATTGCATTATCATGTAAAGCAGCTCTTTTATAAATATATATAAGCTCAATCGGTACATTGGCATACTGGGGAAACAAATTTGATCTCCAGTGGAAGAACACTACTCTTTTTCTAGAGCTCTCTGCGATAACTTAGCTTTCTGACGATGAGAGATTTTTATTTATATATATCGCATCGTCAGAGCTATGAAGCTGTCCTATGCCAACTAATGGAGCAAAGTCAAAAGTGCTAATCTGTAAGATTACATATAACTCACGCCTCATATGAGTATATAATATTGCATGATTGTTGAAAAATTGAATCCTTACCAATGAAAAATGCTCTTTCACAAAATTAGCCAAGTCCGTTCCGTCTTGGGGGAAAAAAAATAGCAACGACTACCATTACAGATCATGCGTGATGTTATCCCAATGATCCTTTCTATTTATGGCCTGCATTTAAATATTGCCAAATATATAGTATTACTACGGATGCCTGACTACAATTACCATATTGGGTCATGACAACCATATATAGACCTTTTACCCATTTCTCCAACATGGCAGTCAATTCAGATTTCAATTGCGCTTGTTACGTTAACTTGATAATTTAACGACATTTTAGGCAGAGTTTAACTTCAAGTTATACAGGACATCAACAGAAATAGTTCATACTACAACCCTACTTATGGATGCGGACCAACGGCTGTCGATTGACATACCGGTCTTGCTCCACTTCAAGGTATGGGATCAATTTAATACCAAGCCAGGGCAGAGGAGGCCGGATATTAATATTAGCACTAATCTCTTTCCTACTTTTTCCAGGTCAGATCATCTCTTCTTCTTCACAATCATGTGCATCATTCATAAGAATATTGTCGCACAGTTTGTGCATAACGGGAGGTAAAAACTATCCACGATAGCCAATGTACAATTAAAACGAGTTAAAAACAGATCTATCATCTTCTGTTTAGATCAGCTGGATCTTGCTGATGCTGTGGCCTAAGGCAATCAGCAGGTGGTGCATGCTGTAACAACTGACGATGGTCTCATCCGAAATGAAAGCCATATTCTTTTCAAAAAAAATCTTATAATTAAACAAGAATAAATCAGTTGTGTTATAACACTGACACGTTCACGTGAACCCCTAAACAAGATGCATGCACATTTTACTGTGCTTACATTGCGCGACACAGGTTACAGACCCAGGGGCCAAAGGCCGAAAAAGGGCAGTGCACGAGGTAACAGGCGACCCTTACTGTCTAAGAGGTCATCTAACTCTTTATCGACTCCCGTTTCATTTTCTGGCTTCGCTTCAATCTTGTTGGATGTATCTCCTCCATTTCCAACCGTCTTTTCTTCAACAGTTTCATTTACTTCAACATCGGTTGTAAGATTCTGTTCAGCCATCACGCCTTACACAAAATTGTCGCTTATGCCTAAGGAAAGAAGTCGCTTAAGCTATAAAATAGAAACACGTAATAGTACTGAGAAATTTTATTAGGTTTTGTTATGTTAATGTTTCTGCACTTAACTAGAGAAATTAATTCAGAAACATCAAATATAAATCAATTTCACAAAAGAAAATAATGTCACAAAACAGAACGGCACGAGCTTAGCACGTTTTCAACCTCTTTCGGACCTCTCGTAATTTTTCTCTCACGCCAATGTATTTTACACGACGACCTTGACATAGTGTTCGGGAGATCTTGGATGTTTTCTATGATACTATTGCATAATGAATAAATAAACAAGAGAGTATACTGGTGCTAAACGAAATGCTGTCACTTCCAGGAAATCGCTGCTGTTTGCGTTGCTGGAGGAAGCTGAAGAGAACGACGAAGAAACATAACTACGTTTCATGATATATCTAGAGACAGTGTCAAAGAAAAAAGTAGAAAGACAATGGCTAGTTCATACGTGGACTCATCATCGGATGGCGAGTTCAATAACGAGAATGCTGAGGATCTGTCATATGGGAATCTTACATCGTTACCCGAGTTTTTATTTGAGAGAGCGAAGGATATCAGAGCTCTGAAACTAAACCAAAATGATATCAACATACTACCTCGAACCATTAAGCATTTTTCTAGTCTAATTACATTGGATTTGAGCAACAATAACATCAGTTATTTGAGCGATGAAATCGTACAACTGCGTCACCTCAGGACGTTTATTGCCAAAAATAACCACATCAAGACAGGAACAATTCCAAAAGACTTCGGTCGAATATCTAGTCTAGAAGTGTTGAATTTGAGCGGAAATAACATTAAGGAATTTCCTCATCAGTTTACAGAGCTATTTCGCCTTCGAGATCTTCATTTAGGAGGAAACAGTATTTTGGATGTACCTAACAGCATTAAGAATCTGCAAAGGTGAATGAGATAAAGTGCTGCTGTAATAGTGATGAAGTATATAGAAATCATATGGGATTTTGCTGTAGTCAGGGGAATAGCTATACTACTTTAATACTGTGAAATATCACCTTTGTAGAAGTTATTTTGTGCAGAAAACATCACCGAAATGCAGTGACTATGACCCAATACTACCCCATACTACCATATACTCCCCTAATATTTGAATATTTCAACCCTTAGGCCTGTACTAAGCGGAAAAATATAATGTATAAAGGGAAATAACTAAAAAAATATGTCTCAAATTGACATAACTGATTTACAACGAACAGTCCATCAAACTATTGTACACCAAACAGGCTAGGCCGTAGGCCCTATATATATTGGTAAAATAGAGGCATAACTATAATGAGGAATATTTACAAAAAAGATGTCGGTCTTGGGTAGTATTTTGGTGTAATAGGTAGTATTTGGCAATATTTAAACAATAACTGGTTGTCTGGATGTAATTATTGTTGATATAATTACAAGTGGCCTCTGGCAAATCCCATAAAACCAGCTAGGGTTTTATGGTAGATATGCCAGAGGCCACTTGTAATTATATCAACAATAATTACATCCAGACAACCAGATATTTTTTATATTTACATGTTTTTCTTTTTTAAGACATATTCCTACAAAAACCATTTGCCCTGCCTTAAAATACATTTCAGGCGGCCATTTTGTTTGTTTACATATTCCTACACCTGAAACAGGCAGTTGTAATTATAGTCGAGCAGTTGTAATTATAGCCTATATAATTACACTTGCCCTCTAACACTGTTGTAATGGGATGGCGCGGGGGCAAATGTAAATATTAGGCCGTAATTGGTCACATTGGGCTGTATTCACGGTAAATTGGTGACATATTTTGCACAAAATCTATATTTTTGGAGAAAATACAATATATGGAAATAACTATGTTTTAGTTGAAATTTCACTGTATCAATTTGACAAAGTAGTATTGGGTAGTATGTAGTATGCGGTAGTATTTAGATGCGCCGGTTGACGTAGAAACTTTTCAACCACCTAGCAAAAGGCAGGAAAGTTGTTTGAACACATTTCATGACAAAATTTAGAAGTAAATTTGTTTGTTAAACTAGGCTACATTCGCGTATACCGGTTGAAACGGTATGTGTGGCGCAGAAATTTTCCACGATAAACGAACGCACTTGGACCGTTATATCATATAAGCAGAGCTAAAAATGCACAGTTTCGGAGAATTAAAAACAATATATCAAGAATAATATGCCCTTCTTCCATCCGTCCACTAAATAACATAACGTATCTTAAAAAGAAGTACATGTGACTTGCCATTGTTTAAGAAAGAAATAACGCAAATTGACAATAGTCAGCATTTTAGTTTCGGTCAGGTACGTCTGGACCCCTCAATCTACACGTACCAAATTTTCCTGAGGTCAGCCTCGGTCCAAATCTGTACCTGTCGTTTTCTTTACCGGTTCAACCGTTTCAACCGGATACGCGAATGTAGCCTTAGGGTTGAGGTCTGCTCCAAATCTCATTAACTCTTAAAAGTTTGCATATTATAGATAAATCATGATCGATGATAGAAAATCATGATCGATGATAGAAAATTCATGATCGATGATAGAAAATCATGATTGATTAGTCATAGTCACTAACAAAGCTAATCATCAATTAAATTTATTACTTAGCGTACACTCATTCACTGGGGGTCAAACCAGTACCCTTAACCTTTAGCTGGATGGGTTTTTTGGTACCTGAGAATGGGATGTTTGGCTATGGTTTGGTAAATTGAAAATGTTTAAGTAATGTTAACTCATTCACCCTGAAATTTCATAATGAACTATGCCAACCTTTGAATTGGAAGAGCTCAAATGTGTCTTAGGGGTAAATGAGTTAAACATACCTGGGTATATCGGCAATATGCAAAAGGAGGCAAAAACGTATGAAGTTGTAAAATTAGTCTAAGTGCTAAAACTCTGATGAAATTAAAAAAATAAAATTCTGGAGGTTACCTCAGCATCTTATGTGACCTTACACAGGGCTGAAAGAAAATTTACTGAATTACTTTTGGTTTGGTTTGTCTGTGTTTTACGTCCTATTAACAGCCATGGTCATTTATAAGGACCTGTCAGGTTTTGTTGGTGGAGGATAGTAAGAGTTCCCGGAGAAATACCACCGACCTACGGCCAGTACCTGGCGACTGCTCCATGTAGGCCTAGAACCCACGACCAAGTGGTGGAGGGCTAGTGGTAGCAGAATGTCAGACGCCTTAACCACTTGACCACCGTGGCCCCCTAACTGAATTACAAATGTAGCTATTAAGATGATATATACTTGTTAAAATACACAAATTAAATTTAAGCCTGAACACTCTTCGTAGGAAAACAGTCTTCTGAATCAATCTGCTGCTCTAGAAATTATTTATATTTATGGTTTATCAAAGTTTTAGTACCCTCATTGTATTTCACTCTGATGTACATGTGTTGACAAACTGTTGCCAATGGTGTGAATGATTGCATCAGAAATATGTAAATTGTTACTGTAACAGATGGCTAAAACTGTGAAATGATCCTATGTATACCATCGTTTGACATTAATCCAGTAGATTCCAATCTCAGACTTACAAAAAACCCTCATAGTTAACAATAAAACCAGGTCTGTGGCCACACTGTGAAAGAATGGCTATGTAACTAGGGGCCTTAAGTACACTAACAGTTCGCTCTAACACAACAGACAATTAAGTTTTAGAGAAAGAAAAGACATGAGGTGATATGATACAAGCTTTGGTATCATAATTTATCTGTAAACAGTTTTTTGAGAGTGTAATATTCAATCTGTAATGAATTATACATGTATGTTATTTCCTTACTTTTAAATTTAAAATTCTCGCATGTGGAGATGTTCATTTTGTGACACTCTAAACTGATCACAGTGAACGTGGAAACTATCACAATGCCAAGGGTTTCGAAATATATATATATCTTAAAACTATTGTAAATAAATACATTTTATTCATTTGTGTATTTATTGCGCTAATTTACTCAACACCATATATATATATGGAAGTTTCCATTTTACAGTATGAACTATGATTATATAATTACAAAAAAGGCCTTTAACCTGATTTGAATGTCTGCTTAATTTGTCTGTTACAGATTGGAAGTGCTTTACCTAGGAGGGAACTGTCTTACAGATATACCAGCTGAGGTTGGGGATCTCTGTAGCCTTACCTCCTTAATTCTCTGTGATAACCAGCTTCAAAGCCTTCCACCGACCCTGATCAATCTGCGTCGTCTCCAATCTTTGAGTCTCCATAGCAACAACCTCTCAACGCTTCCTCAGGAGATAGTGTCTTTGAACTTGGTAGAACTAAGTCTGCGTAATAACCCACTGGTGGTAAAGTTTGTGCAGGACATGGTAGATTCGCCGCCTTCCTTGCTAGAACTGTCAGGACGGGTCATAAAAATTGAAAAACTGCAATATTTGAAAGGTGATCTCCCAAATGATCTCATCTCCTACCTCCACTCAGCACACAGGTGTGTCAACCCTAAGTGTAAAGGTAAGTAACATTAAGTAGAAATTAATGACACATATTTTGAAGCAATAGAATAACGGTGATAGTACATCAGTGAGCTGTCTTATCTACATAGGGAAAGACAGGTTCTTCTCTCATTTCCGTGTGTGTAAGATAAAGCTGTCCAGGGTAAGAAAGGGGTGTAAGAAAATTCTAACTTACGACCAATTTCATGTGATGTGACATCACAATGGCTCAACAATGACGTCACATCACAAATTCAATTGCTGCAATGCGGAACAGGCGACATGATGAAATTAAAACCTTTTACGATATATTGACCGCACATATTAGAAAGATTAGATTATTTTTTCTGTGCTAACACTTTGTTTGCAAATATGGGGTACGGAAAATGTGGCATCTAAAAGGCCCCGGGGGGGGGGGGATTAATATTTTAAAAATGGTTGTCAGTTCAAAAACATTTTCATGCTTCTCTGAGCTTATTCTGGTGGTTGGAATGAAAGAAAAAATATTATATATCTATACTCTTTCATGCCCAAGGGTGTAGGATAGGAATATTCCACCCTCTGGATTTTCAAAGGCTCGGGTTTACCAGATTTGAAAACCCCTCGGTTGGAATTTCCCTATCCTACACCCCTGGGCATGAAAGAGTCTTATAATCTTTTCCTTTGCAAAAACTGCAGGGACCTTGACATTTAGGAATTTCAGAGGTCAGGTACATGTAGAATTTACATGTAGAATTTTTTGCTGAATTTATGAGAGTCGAAACATTTCAAGTAGACTGTATTTTCTCTTTCCCTGGACAGGGATATCGATATCCACCATTTTACCGGTGTGAGATTTTCTTATCTCGCCCTAGGGTTGAGACAAGCTACACTTGTTCTTTGCACGTTCTCAACAATTGTATCACGTCATAGCAACAATAACATGACGTCACTGATACAATACGATGATGTCATGGCAACAATACAATGATGTCACGTCGACAATTCAGCCGCATCACATCAACATTGTCTTGCATTGATGTAACGTCTATATAAAATACATAAGAGGGTAAACAGGGTAAGAGAAAGATAATAATTTACCCCCTTGGGAGTGTGACAGGGTGATCTCAACCCTCGGGGTAAGATTCTAAAGCTGTCAAACACTCAGCAAGCCTCGTGTTTGACAACTTAAGAATCTTACCCCTCGGGTTGAGATTACCCTGTCTCTACCCCAAGGGGGTGAAAGATTCTATAAGTCATTTATAACCCAAAAGTCAAAACTCATTTTGGGAATTTAAAAACATTGAAAGCCCTGAAGACTTGGATGTACCTATAGAATGTGGGAGAATGCTATCTCTATTTATTGTAGGCTGGTCCTTTAAAACCAAAAAGTTGGCTTATTTTGGAGAGTCAAAAATACTCGTAAGGGTTTATTGAAAACCTTGAGGACAGAAATACACCTGTTAATTATCAGTGTTGGAGACAGCTTTAGCTATAAACTGTATGATGTATCTGGGTTGTAATTTCACAATCCTTAACTGTAAAATGTGATTAATTCTCCTGATATTAGTGTTGTTAATGGTGCCATCAGTTTTTAAGAAAAAACAGGTTTGACTTATCTGTAAAGTATTCACTTTAACAGCTCTGTTTTGTGGTTGACAGGTGTGTACTTTTCATCACGTGTGGAGCATGTTAAGTTTGTGGACTTCTGTGGAAAATACCGCCTGCCCCTGCTACAGTACCTGTGTTCCCCAATTTGTTGTGATGGCCCTGCCATGTATCCAAATAACAGTGAATCTGACACTGATGAAGAGGATACAGCCCGTGCCAGGTTGCAACGAGTTCTCCTCGGTTAAAATATTTGAAGTGAAAGGACCAAGTGCTTGAACTGGTCACCTATTTAAAGATTGATGTACACTGTTTTATTCGTTTTAAAGATGCAGGTGTGTTGCTGTGATAACGTTGTCTCTTCAGCTAATCTATATATCATAGATTCAATATGAACAGTAATTTTATCTGTGCTGAAGACAGTGTTAACTCATTCACCCCTGAAAACACATTTGAACTCTTCCAATTCAAAAGTTGGAATAGTTCATTAAGAAATTTCAGGGATGAATGAGTTCAGCAATTGTATTGTGTGGCTGTGATGATGAAACCTCTTGGAGTGATCTTTTTATAGATTTTACTACATGAATATTGTCTATTATTAAGGATTCCCGCCACTGCCAAAACTGTAACTATGCGTTAGAAACTTTGTTTCCAGCATGGCTAAGGCATTGATAAAATCATTTCGCAAAAGAAATGACAAGAATTCTGATTGCAGTGGAACGAGGATCCTTAAGTGCTGACATTATTATTTCAAAAGAAAGTTTATTTACATTTTTGTATAATTATAATTTAGGTTCAAGCAGTTCAAGCGGTTCCAATATCTTGTTTCAGAGTTTATCTGACCTGTTAGATTGACCTGATTTTTAAACTTTTAACTAATTAACCAGGCTAGAAGTACATCCAAGATGCTTTTATTTTACAAAATCTCATCAGTTGATATATATATATAGATGGTGTGTTTTAGGTTACTGTTATATAGATATACCTTCACATATTATGTCAATGTCATGTACATCTTACAAGTGTGCTAAGCCATTAACAATTTTGTAAAATCATGGTTGACTACCAGCCCTTAAGGATTTTTTAAGATTTTCCCAGCTGTATTTTAATGCTAGCTTATCTTCCCTTGTTTGAAACTCTGGATCAGACATTCAAGTGGTCAATCGAAATTTTTGTAATGTCTATTTTTTTCTGAATATTTGATATTCTAGAGATGGTAACCAGTCTACGGAACCTTCCAAGGTGCTAAAAATAGCCTCAATTGAGAACAGGCACCTGGCCTTTTTTTGTAATTCGGTGAATTGTGTCAAAGGAATCCAACCAGCTGAAAGGTTAGGGGTGCTTATGTCAAAAGTAATGTGACAGGGACCTTGATGTATGTGGTATAAGATATACAGTATTGGATTTTATTTAGTGGCAAGTGTTACCCTTTGTTGTCTCTGATATTATAAAGTCCACAGAAACTCTTAAAAAGAAGACATACCAGATTAATTTCTGAAGATTATCCTATCCTTTTTCTCAAAGAGGTCCAATGTACAGACGATAATTATAACTAAAGGCTCAACATGTACTTGGCTTATTCCTCAATACAAAGTTGGATGTATTGGTTTTATTCCTAAAATAATATTTTGTACCCGTCATTCCTTCAATAATTAAGATGTATTGACTTATACCTAGATAATACCTATACCGGTATGTAAGTCATATTCCTGAAGACTTGAAATGCACTTCTCTTATTCCTAGATACTTCAAATCTACTAGTCCTATTTTCTAAATATTTCAAACATACATTTTTGTACCAGCCTTTTTCCTGAAGATTCAAATATACTTGTCTTATTCGTAAATGCTTCAAACCTTCCAGTCTTATTTTCTTAATTTTTCAAATGTACCGGTTTGAAGGTCAAATATAGGAAGACATTAATTCCTTTATCTACATCTTTTTCTTTTAGCAGGGGTAGTGGGCTTAAAACTTGGAGTGGGCTTACAAATGACTTTTGTTATGTCAGACAGCTTACTGTTCATAGTGGTGTCGTTAAATCGTTTTACATTAACCCATTGTTATATCCATGTATATACTTTAAATTTGTTTGAAATGTTTTGTTTATATTGGTGACTTGCTGAGGTAAGAACAAGATATTTTTCTTGCTCAGAACAGTTTTTGGCCATGGTGCTAGACATATATTGTTACTTTTTCTTCCAAAAACTTTCTATCCTTATATTATGACAGCTTATATTATATATGTTGTTACTATTGTGAGATCATGCAGCTTTTTCAAAGGCCCCCAGGAGTACTTAATATCAACCAGCTGTGTGGGATGTTTCTCATAACATTATTTGCAAATATTTGTCACTATGTGGTCCAATATTCATTATCCTTAGCAGATTTTTTGATTTTGTTGGGTGATATTGTGTGTTTTTTCTTTTCTTTTTCCCCCCAAAGGATTAAACAATTGTCTAAGAAAAAATAATCATTATTTTAAATGTTTGCATTGCGATTTACACTTTACAGGTAAACAGTTAGTGCTTGTTTAACTTTAAAACTTTTTCAGAAAACATACTATCGAGTATGAATTATCATGAAGTTGGCATACAATCAATTGCATTTAAAAAATCTTAAGGATAAAAAAAATCCAGATTTATTCTTCTAAAACTATAAGATACAAGATGTATCTACTAGTTCAATTTAATAGAAATTTTAAAATTTAAACTCCATTTTGATCTCAACTTCATTCTTTCAATATAGTACACACTGCTATTGGCTTCAAAGTTAACACATTTCCTGTGTCTTATTATCGGTCGCTCAAATAAAAGTTACACATGTATATACAGTAAAACCTTGTTATACTGCCGTCATTTGTGCAGAGAAATTTTGGTGATATAACGAGGGAAGTGTTCTGAACATTCTTTCGAAAAAAAGTGTAGTCAAGGGGAACAACTCTAACTTACTACTCAGTTCTTTGCTCGACGGGTTTGTGGGAGCAGACTTAAAAGGATCAAGGCTGGTCAGAAAACATATGTAACGTAAATATGTTGGCAGTAAGCAAGGTGGCAAATGGAACAAGGAGCATTATATGGATGTTTTACTGTATTTATACATCTTAAATTGATAATGAGACAAATTTATGTACCCAGTATGTAGGGTATATACTTTTTTCTGTTGTGAAATATATTGATTTCCAAAACCAGAAATTTTGATGCATGTGCCAAAAAATTCTGTAACCTTTTTGATTTTAGGTATCTATATTTCTGAAAATATCATTGTGAAAATTATAAAGAGACAAATATAAAACTGTTGAAGAAATACACATTAACTTCGTTTGTTTTATTCTTTCTTCAAATATCTGTTTTCAATGCATTCCCTCAATATACTTAATACATTAATAGATTAAATTCCCATCGAAACTTTATGTTTTTGAAGTTACTGTTAAATATTATTATAAATGCATGTATATTACTGTTATTATCACCTAAATTTATGTGATAATCTTTGTAAATTTTAGTCCGAGAATTTTGTCTTAATTAGATACATTGTAAGCATGAACAGTCAAAACAATATCCAATTACAAAAGTGTATCAGTCATGTTGTATTTTGAGTTGTGAACATGGCAACTATTTCGTAGTTGCAAAGTATATGTGTGTAGGAGTGTGTGTAGAATGTGTAAATAAACAAAATCCATGTCACAGAGGAAAACCGATTTTTGGTTATTCTCAAAGGCAAAAAGTATGTGTTTGTTGGTTAAAAGTTAGTGTTGCTTATAAATATATCTATATTTCAAAAATGATATGAGAAAAGGGGAAAAAATATAATAAGAACGAACACATGTCTTTGCTAACATTATATTACCAGTACTTTGCTGAATTTTGAATTAATGCTATAAAGCAGGAAAGTGTTCCCCAGTCAGACTTTCATCCCACACTGGTATAATCAATCTTTACACTACCTTAATTATGCCCTTACATTACAATTATTATACAAAGTTAAACTTCAGATAGAGTTTCCGGTGTGGAGGTGCATGTCTATAAATGTCTGAAATGTATTATTCTAAATGAAAACATATGTGTGTTTCATAAGGAACTTTTTGTTTTGTGAGCAACTTTTGACTTAGACAGTTGTCTTCATCAAATTTCACAACTCCCTATCTAGATAGAAATCTGCTGAGAAAAGATTAGAAAGATATAAATATATATAAATGGTATTATCTGATGTTTTAAATGGATTAATAATTGATTTGAGGACGTGTGTGGAATTGAGTTGAAAGGCAATATGAATGTATAGCGTGTTCAAGTTACACATTTAAGGTAAACGGCACTCCAACAGTGTTAGAGGTTTACACAGCGAGATACTTTTGACAGGCGCTGTTGCAGTCGGCAAAATCATATCCGATAAAAAAAAAGACCGACCAGCGACCTGTTGTGTTATAGGAGTAAGGTAAAGGGTAACCCTGTGACAGTTATGTGGAAAAAAATATTTCCTCTACTTTAACTTGAAGTATTCTCCTACATGTAAATGAAAAATAAATCAATTTAAAAAAAATCTGATTGTGCCTTCATAGTTTATTTTTGTGGAACATTGTTAACCATTTGCTGTTTAACTGTGGCAATGGAAATCAGGTGGAAGCTGTGATTGCTCATGTAGTACACTTTTGGGGGTAATTATCATCAGATCAATATGTGCGATACACATGCATACACAGCTTCGTTTAATGGTGGCAACTCTAGCTAGTTTCAGGCAAACGAGATGAAACTTAACTTGAACGGAAATGTTTGTAGTGCTTTATTCTGAGAAGGCAATGATCTGAATCGACAAATGATAAAATTGAATCAGTTCATCTACAGACTTTGAATGGAATCAGTCTGATAGGGATGCACTTCATCTACAGACTTTGAATGGAATCAGTCTGATAAGGATGCACTTCATCTACAGACTTTGAATGGAAGCTGACAGAGTTTTTATCTGGACAAAAAGTTAACAGATGGCTGAAATGTCATAAACATGACAGGCTTATATGTGCACATTGAAATACACAGAAATTAGTCCAGTCACTTCGGTTATAACATTCACAGAAAAAGCAATGTTAAACTTGGAGCAGCTCGTTTGCCTGTGGTCAAGGGGAGACAAGCATGATATTTTATTGATCCACAGTACTAGTTGGTACCTTATTTATGGTTTTAATCATTTCTTCTTGCATAAGATTAAGGGTAACTCAAAGATTGAGTCAATTTTCTTTTTCTTACTGCATGTTGTTTTTTTTTTAAACTCAAACTGGTTCCACAAATAGACAACATGGAAATGATTTCAATGTCACGTCTAAACAATGGAGGTACAAAGTGTCGTCAAAATATCTTCTAATTAACGAGACTTTCACCAGTGTTAAGTTGTAGCTGTTGTGAACGTGCATGTATGGAAAGGAGTCCTTTGACCAAAGTCACCATGCATGTCACACTTTCTGTGGGTGCTTCAGATTTCGTAAAGAATTTTAATATTTATAATTTCAATGAAAATTTTGCACTTATTTCACCAAGTAGGTCCTGTGACCAAAATGCAGTGCATTGCTTTATCTTCTGTAGTTGGTGCAGGAATACTACAGATTTTAATCAAGATATATAAAGTCAGGCATATTTACCAATGCACTTTTTTTTTACCTTTGACAAAGAAGTAAAAGGCCATGATGACCAAAATGCTGCACATTTTCTATTCTATTGTTTATGCAGGAAAATTTCAACTTTCATCACATCTTCCAAAAGGTCAATATTTACCTATGATTTTATACAAGATTTTGCATTCATCTGACCTTTGACCTAGGGGTGATGCTGCCGTGACTTTGCTAGTGCAATGCTCACCTGAAGTGCGGCCAAGTTTCTTTTGCTAGTTAACAAATTATAGATTTTTTTTTAAAGTACAGGTGCATTATACTCTATTATTCAACTTTGGATCAAGAGGTCAAAGTCATAGATGACCTACTTCCAGTACACTGCACATGCACACCTTATGTGGGTGATACATTGTACCTGTAAACAATACTTATGAACTTACTTATAATAAACAAATTACAAAAATCCTAAGAATCCCAAGCGGTTTGTCTTTCATTTTCAGAGATCGATTTTCGGAACTTGAACTTTTTTTTTCGGTGCGCAAAATATTAGAGTAGAAGCTTTTTTGGGGATTTTCACTCAAAAAGTACCTGCCCAAATTACATAGGTGCGCAAATTACATGGGTTTTTACGGTATGTCAAGATATGTTTATTGGTATATATATGTTAAGGTGCATAATTATATAACCTGTACTTATTTCTGCATTCTTTTGAACGAGATGTTGAAATACAATGTATATATATCAACTTGTACCTCATTCTGTATGTGTCTAGTTGTTGCCTGCTGCTATTTCTAAGTTAAAGCAGCACTTTTGCTTTCCAAAATAATGCCTTCAATAAAATCAATCAGTAACATTAGGAGATATATCTGTTATTAACATTCTAAGATCACTTATCCATATTTCAACATTAGGAGATATATCTGTTATTAACATTCTAAGATTACTTATCCGTAGTTCAACATTAGGAGATATATCTGTCATTAACATTCTAAGATTACTTATCCGTATTTCAACATTAGGAGATATATCTGTCATTAACATTCTAAGATCACTTATCCGTATTTCAACATTAGAAGATATATCTGTTATTAACATTCTAAGATCACTTATCCATATTTCAACATTAGGAGATATATCTGTCATTAACATTCTAAGATCACTTATCCATATTTTAACATTAGGAGATATATCTGTTATTAACATTCTAAGATCACTTATCCATATTTCAACATTAGGAGATATATCTGTTATTAACATTCTAAGATTACTTATCCGTAGTTCAACATTAGGAGATGTATCTGTTATTAACATTCTAAGATTACTTATCCGTATTTCAACATTAGGAGATATATCTGTCATTAACATTCTAAGATCACTTATCCATATTTCAACATTAGAAGATATATCTGTTATTAACATTCTAAGATCACTTATCCGTATTTTAACATTAGGAGATATATCTGTGATTAACATTCTAAGATCACTTATCCATATTTTAACATTAGGAGATATATCTGTCATTAACATTCTAAGATCACTTATCCGTATTTTAACATTAGGAGATATATCTGTCATTAACATTCTAAGATCACTTATCCACAATACATTGTGGGTTATTTAACACAGTAACTACTTCCATCAATAAACCACACAAAGTCTGTTTTAATGTTTTTCTTCTTTTATTTACAACTGTAGAATTATGACGACATATATGCATCATGGCCATGTTAACCCCTTCACTCCAGCACTTCAGACATTTGACCGTCCCGTCCTTGGATTGGGACCGGTTCAATATCAAGTGTGGGGGTGCCAGGGTTGGATAAAACATGGTGGTTCATATCCATGTTGAATTGGTTTTGTTTGATGTTTAGCCAATTAACCTTTCCATGAAATGAAAAAAAAATCATAAAAAGTGATTAATTCACTCAGTATATCTTATATAACCATACGTTTAAAAAATCACAATCTTCGTAACGCACGAAAAAGCCATTCTTTACGAGTGAATGATTGGCTCATAAGTAAAAAATAGGACTGTTCACAGACACTCATTACTACGACCAGTGAAACTACATCACACTCCTGTGTCACTGACAAGTTCCCATTCCTATACACTCGGTCGTACAATGTTTCCATAATTACTATTGTCACTTTAATAGAGGGAAAATACACCAGACTTTCAAACTTAAGGGTCAAAGGACATGAGCATACCGTATAAATAGAGCATTGTTCCACTTCAGTGACCACACATTGACAGAGTACAGCTGTGTAGTTCAGACAATGACGGGACTGGTGTTTTGGTCAGTTATATACAATTGTCACTATGCTTGCACGAGATATTTGTGAGCACTTATTATAATTCAGAAAATCATACTTTTCACAAAAACTAAATAACTAGCAGGAAATATGAAATAGATCAATGATATCTGTTACACACTACTTTTCCCTAGTAACTAGGAGTGTACAATTAAACTAGCCCATCGCCCAGGGCTAGTGGTAGATTTATGTTGGGCTAATGATTTTTTGTATATTAACTATTAAGTAAAGGTCAGACTAGTATTATTTTTCTGTGTGTGGGCTAGTATTCTCAGAAATTGTGCACCCCTGACTACTTCGTTCTTTTTCATCAGTAATTTACAGGTCAATCTCACTTCCTTAACTCGCTGACATTTCGAATGGAATATCTCTTTCATGTTCATTCAGAATGAAAATAAAATTTACATGACCTCAAATTCAAAATGATCCTTTACACAAACATACACATACTTCCGGCATAACTTTTGGGGGAATTTCTTTTTGGAAACTTCACTGCCATGCCATCAGGAAATGAAGCTTGCTGCATGTGTGAATTGTTAGCTTCACACTTCTAGCCACGATGTATAAATACTCGAAACAACAGTGTTACATCATTCAATTATTTGTGTAGCAAGTCATCTTTACAAAAACACAGAGTTCATTACTTAGGGAGCACATAGTATGGCAAACAAACCAAGTGACCAGAGTTGTTAATCTGATCACTGATGCACTACATGCAAGGGATATAAACCATTTTTTATATTTAGTTTATTCAAATCGAAAATAGCTTTGGTCGAGGTTTCTGCAGTGATATGATTTCGCATTCCAAGAAAATTCATTCAGCGATATTCAATACAATACCACAATGTTTGAATTTGCACAAAAATAAATGCATTCACAGATCCTCAATGTTGTTTATAAAACAAACTACACATTGAAAAGTCCCGTCATTTTCTACCGCTCTACTTTGCTAACAACACGTACACAATCACCGAATCACATGATCTGTATGTTAGTAGGACTAATCTGTAACTAACGGGATTACTAGGATCACGGTACCGTCACACCCCCTTCACCCATCGGACACTTAAAAAGCATTACTTGTCACACATACAAAATGACCACACTTGTCACAAAGAATGATTGGTACATATAACTTAATGCATTCAATTGGTGTAGATTGATGTTTTCCATGCAAATTGTTTACTCTCAAAAACTCCCCCCTTTCCCATCCTAATCGATGGAGTGTTTACCGGAACCTTGTTTCTGACGGCACAAATCCATACACTGACGCATACCCCTGTTAACTAAGACAGCTGAATTGATGAGTCAGAAGTTACAACGTACCTTATACGACATTCACATTTAGTCTGCTGGTGGAATGGTCGTCTCTTCAAAGATAACACACATTACAATTATCATAATAAAATAGAAATTGAAAATTCTATAAAAAACGAAAAATAACAATGCCTCTATTAAAACTTACCAAAATAAAAGTATTTCAATTATCAGTGCTAAATTTGAATAAAATAAAATAATTTTAATTTGGTAGAGTTTTGAAAATCTGCATTGAATGATCAAAACTGACTGTTCTATGTCCATGAATAAAACACCATCTTTCACTTTACAAAGCAAATTGAAAACACGATACTGATTCATGAATATTCATCAGCAGTCAGCCTCCCTTTCATAAAATCTGACAATTACATGACTTCATTCCGTCTTTGCGTATTGCAGAGTTATCTTCTCTTGAGAGCAGGTATTGATTGTTACGTCATTGGTTTGTGAGAGTAACGTCATCAATTATTGAGAAAACAACTAAATTTTCTCACACAAACCAACGACGTAACAATCAATACCTGCTCTCAAGAGAAGATAACTCTGCAATACGCAGACGGAATAGTAGCATGCATGAATGACACATCTCCCATCATTTGCAGTCTTCAAAATCTATCATTTTCCCAAAATGTAAATGTCTCAAATACGTTTGCCTGTGAACGGCAATATGATAAGTTTGTATATAGATTCTCTGAACACATAGACATTGTACAAAATATCTAACCTCGTCCATGTACAGTAAAAATAGAATGTCATCAATCTCCCCGTTGGCACTAAATAAATTCGAACTTGTACGTATGGGTATTAGACTGGTCAGGTTTGTTTGGATAACTATACTATATCTTCAGGTACAATTTACTTATGTAACAAAATGTTATGCACCTAGACTAATACAATAACTTATATTTTTACCCGAATTTTTCACAAGACTGGCATATATATAAATACAGCTTTCAAGGTCCAAATTCATTTCATGTTCACAGAAATTTCTCACATATCACTTTTCTCACAAAGCTTTTGCTTACCAATTTTTAAAGTTTGGGATTAAAAAGTGTGTATCATAACATAAATTTATCATGCAAAACCAAAGTATGAAGGATTTGTGCCATGTCTGACTCCAACTCATTTGTTCATAAAATTTACATATCCATTATACAAACGCCTCAACAATGACATTCAACTCATTCCTGGTAAATGATTTCAAAACATACAGAACATATTTGTCTTGGTTTGCTTCAGATAAAAGATGTACATCATGAGGTTCATTAAATAAAATTTCATAAAAAATTACAGAAATTTGAATAAAACGTAGCCAATAAAAGAACATAGAACTTCAATGAGTATAATTTTACAAGATTTTATATCATGCACTAAAATGTCTGGTTGGGTCATTTATTTTTTTACATTATATCATTGAGCATGAAAGGGAAACAGTCTTTTATTGGAAAAACTGCAATGAAACGCCTGTCACTTTATAAATATGTTATAATTCGTGTGCTTCACAGAGCTGCAGTTTCCTCCTCTACTCAGTCAAAGGAGCTCAAAATATTAGACTACTATAAATATTTTAATCGCCCCTGAAATTTCATAATGAACTATTCCAACCTTTGAATTGGAAGAGTTCAAATGTGCCTTCAGGGGTGAATGAGTTAAAGCGTTACTGACTAAAACCAATCAATGGTCTACCCATAGATTACCAGTCTGCCATGATAGACAGACAAGACATAAAAACACATCCATAATTTAAAATCGCTCCCACCAAAATATGTTCTCCAATCATTCGAGCGCATACAACATCAGTGATATTACACACCGCGTAGCTAGTTAAGAATTTCTCACACACAGAAGCTAGCATCCCTTTCATACTAACATGCACAGTTAAATTATATCGTCAGAACTAGGGTCTCGCTTACAGAGAAAATACCTTCATCACAGGTGGTTACTCTCAATAAATGACCTTCCACCAGACATTCAATTCCGTAAATTCCAGCAAGGCATCCAGACAATAACACAGATTGCGATAGTCATTTGAGAAGATCATACAATCAAATGCTCAGTGTACTCTGGGATGTTTTCTTCTACGAATAAATATGATAACAGACACCAATTTTATAGCAAGGTCTTCAAACTTGTTCATCTGGCATTGACATGTAAACAGTCTTGCAAGTCAAACAACAGACCCCTGCTGACAACATGCTGCCATCTGTTAACTTTAAAGGCATTCAATGTTCCTCTACACAAGTGAATCGATTCTGATCACTTACTTCTCTCCACTGAACTACATTGTTACAACATATTGACTTGCTGTATGCAGTTTGAAATGAAATGGCACCAAGAGTCTTTTCTCTCCAAAATGTCTCCAAACCATTCTACAAACTGACCTCAACAATGCACCTGGTCATTCTAACAAACCTGTCCGTCATTAACTAGAACTGATCAACCATTAACAATAGGTTATTTGAGTGTCTTTCCATCAGGTACAAATGAGAAATGGTTTGGATGTGCCGATGTCGACACATAAAGTTGACTACACGTTATCTGTAATTCCTCTTTGGTAAGAACCATTGTATCTGTTATCGGAGTCTGCCTTTGTTGGTGAGCCTGTAACCCCAAGTCACGTAATATTTCCAATTAAATTTGTTAACCTGCCTAATCCACTTGACTGTCATCTTTCCATTATGTTTGTTGATAATCTGTGCATAACTCAATATTTTTTCCCCGTGTGTACTCACTGAATCTGGTTTCAGGTCATCACTGTGGTTTCTACTGGTTATGTCCTAGTGTGGTAAAATTTTACCACAGACTCCCTGTGAGACGAACACTTAAATAAAAATTCTCCCCCCTGACCTAAGTGGAGAGTGTTAGTTACGCGTTGCCGGCAGCTGCAGCCCCCTGAGTATCAGTGGCATCCCCTCCAGGATTTGCCACTCCAGTCTCCGGAGTCCCTCCTCCGGTTGTGGCATTTGTGCCGCGATAATGTGGAGGTGTGAGAACAGAGTTCAATGCAGGCTGAATTTGAATTTCTGTAGAAGATAAAACATAAGTGGTTAAGGTATGCCATCAAAAGTTTCGTCAAACAACAAATAGTACGGCATACAGTGTTTTTTCATGATATTCAAAGCATTATTGAGATATTTAACACAGTTCTAGATATTTCTAACAGGTTAAGAATATCCAAAACGACAAGGAGTCACTACTACCATCAACAGATAAGGTCAACAAAACTCTACATAAAATACAAAAATTGATTTTCCATTTTAAATAAAATATGAACTGAGTTTAGAAATTTTGCAGTTAAGTTATGGGCCGAATTTCATCAATCCCATACTAAAATGAAGACAAAATCAAGATTCTATTACTACACTGAAAATGTATTTAATAGGATATTTCTGAAGAAGTTGAAGGCTCTGTGGCTACAGGAAACAAATTCTTCAGAAATATCCTATTAAATTTTTTTTCAGTGTAGGAATAGAATATCAACTAAGTGTCTCGTGTCTTTTATATACCATCCGGTTGCCACGGTTGTATGAATTCTGTCGATATCATGTGTTATTTAAGGATTGAATCACCCCATGAAATCGACCAAAGCAAGATTCAATCCTTATATTTCAATCAACTGGTGTTTTTTTTAATAATTGGAACTTGTGAAGTCAATTCTGATAGTCTGACCCAGGTTCTGGAGCTTGTGCAAGTCTACGTATTGATGTTATGTAAAACAAATATGGTTCATCATTGAAAGACCATCATACAACATGATGGTGTACGTTGATAGTTTAATACAGCCAAATTATGTAGAAACAAAACCCAAAACCATATTTTAAATGTCATATTTAACTTTAGTTGATGAATTCATAAGATATCAAATTTTCTGACACGTCATCGCAGAAGAATAATGTCTAGACGCGGTGCGCAGGCTCAGTTGCAAGTTTAGGACAGCAATATTTTTACTAGCCTCAAGTGGAGAGCCGCTTAATTTCAAGGTTCTACATCTTCTGGAATGTGAAGCTGCAGTAATTGAATGTTGAATTAAGACAGAAAACCAGGCGTATAATGAAAGGACGAAATAATTTGATATGGCAGTTGGCTGTTTGACTGTTTTTCATATATAAGACGGGACCACATGGATCTACGTTGTTTTCGATTTGTACCGGGGGTTGTTACTGACACAAGAGGCAGAATGGGTCTCTGGAGTGAGAATTTCCAGGGCAGAACATGACTTGTCACTACCGCTAGCAACCGTGAGCTGATAATATTTTGCTGTCTTTTTGTTTTTGTTTTTTAATTATTTCTTGTGTAGCGTCAATAAAAATGTAAAATTTCAACAAGTGGTTTCTTCTTTGTTTAATCATATAAGTAGTTATCTCCCTTCGCAAAATCATACACACAGGCAACGTTTATCTGGTCAAATTCATTGGCAAATGAAACAGGTTATATTTGGTAGTCGCATTGAGTCTAACTTGAGTAGGGATTAAAATAACTATACAACATGTGTTATTACATAATACAATATGATATGGATGTATTTACTGCTCCACACAGTTGTCATGTGATACAATAATTGAGGGAAGGGATGTTTACGGTCATCTCTCACCTTGCGGAGTAAAGTTGAATAAAGGTGGCAGTTCTTTGCCACTTGGTAGACGAGTGGCAGGTTTCCGTAGCTCATCAAAGAATGTGTGTGCACATGCTTCAAGGGGGCTGATTCTGGAGCCAGGTGTATACTCCAAGAGACGGCTGACCAGCTGAATGGCCTCGGCGGGAGTGCGTGGCCGGAACACCTAGAAGATTGACGGACAGAAGCGGAGGTCAACTTGATCTTAACATGGAGGCTAGATGTTGGAATAACCATGCACTATCTCTTACTGTATCACTAACTTACTCTATTTGACTGTCACAAATATCAAAACATTAACTCTAATTATAAGACCGTCACCTATCATTACTAACTTACTGTAACTATTTGGCTCTAGGTTATCTCAATGGGAGAAATTTACAGAACTTCTAGGAAGATGAAAAGAAACAAATGATTTTATAATAAATATTTAAATTAAAAACACTGGTATAGAAAGTAAACAGCATGAGAACAGTAAGAAACCACTGGGTCAACAGAAAGTAGACTCCCAGCTGGTGATTTCACAAGACATGGAGACATGATCATGAATACTCTCAGTTGCAAACAGAGTATGGTAATGGAAGTCTTACACAATACATTTGTATAACAAATTATCACCTGATTTGCTATTTATACCTGTGTGATGTCCAACACAGTATACACACTGATGATAAAGAGCAGGCCATGATTATTAGTGTTAGAAGCCTGATGAATATTGAGGTACAGAAACTTTGGATGGAACATAAACTTCAATTCGCTGTTACATGGTAAATTTTCTCAATCTTCCATTATTTAAGACATGTTGATGAATTTGAAAATATTATAAATCCTTTTTTGTCATATAGAGTTGACCTTGCCGCTTGCACAAGTTTTGTCCATTCACTTCTAATAACATTCATGCCATCTTTACAATCTAAAGATTATCTTTTGATTTACTTGTTTCACCAAAGACATTTTTGTACTTTTAGGCTTAGTTTGTTACATGAGGAGTATACGTGGTATATGACTACTGACTAGCCTAGCTGCTGTCTATGCTATAAATTTATCACAATATATTCTCTACAGAATTATTTCTACCAAATTAAGGTTAGACAAATTATTCTGTATAAAGCTACATGCAGTCCTTTTTCTTTCTATAGAAATGACATACAGAAGTACTTCTAACAATGAACTTCAATAAATGGTATTTTGTGCTTAACCCTTTCACCCCTATGCAACTTTAGTAGACTCTCCCATGCATTGATCTGGATTTGATGAGTCCATTATGGTCTACAGTGTTGAAATAGTGAAACAAAATAAATTCCACATCTTATTTTTTTTTTTATTCCATTCATATTTCCAGTTTGTGATTTACGAATGCATCCAACATCAAACTTATATCATATATGGACATGCCAGAAAGAGGTCAGAATGTCAATTAAAACTGGTTATATCAAAGAAATGTTCACTTATAAAAACTGAAAAAGAGTAAATAGAAAAATACCATTAATGTATAAGGAAAAGTAATTGGGATGATGATTGAATTTCCGATGAGAAAGGGGGGAGAACAACTGAAATAGAGAGATGAAAATGAGGTTGGGAAGCTGAAGATGCTTAATAGGATAAAATGAAATCTTTAAATTCTCAAAATACTGACAACCATTCAAGACAGCATGATAATGTTAGGACATTTTGCCATGAACTGAAAATCTGTGGTTCAGGTTCTCCATCAAGTGTGTCAATACTGCGACACTTTAGCTCGACATAATTACCTACCAAGTGTAACAAATGAAATGCGAAATACAACAGGTGGGGGGTCACACACTCCAGCAGTAGGAGTCGTTGATTTTTGAGCTATGCAGTCAATATCTAAAATCTTGAATAGGACTGAGGTAAGTAACGATAAATCAAAGCTAAAATTTAAATCATTGAATGTTAATATAGTACAAACAAATGGAAAGTACACTCTACCCATGAATAGTGGTCACACATCTCTGTGTTTCAACAATTCCAAAACAATGATTACAGTTTCGTAATTGCAACCACCAATAGTGGTAGTTGGTAGCATTACATAAATTAATCATTCTGACAGTATTTTTCTCTCCTCATATAATACTTTTTAATCTTAATAAGTGATTGACAAGAAAAATATTTGGAATGAGTAACTGGTTAACTAAATGCGTGAAATATTATTGAAGTGAATTTGACCTCACCAGTTGAGTGCACTTTCCACCATGTTGACTCCTACACCTTGTAACAGGGGGAGTAACTCAACGGTCAATGAACTCTAGGTATATAGAACACTACAAAGCCTAGTTCTAGTAAAGTTGACCTGTCCTTCACCATGCATGTCCATCACAAAATGTATTCCCAAACACAGGTAGGTCAGCCAATGCCTAAATGGTAACTACAGTCTTTTCTTTTTTCTCTCTCTCAGGTATATCAGATACAATTTATCTTATATATATAAATCCGATTAACCAATGACTTCCGTGCAGTATCTCAAATATGGTAGGATATATATATATAATGTATTCAAAATATGGTAGGATATATATAATTTATTTAAACTCTTCTCTCTGAATCAGCATTAAACTTTTGCCTATTTTTCTTTTCTTTTTTTAGGTTTCCAGAATTTCACAACCATTTCTTACAAAATTGATTTTAACAAAATAATTTCCAGTAAATTTTTCTTGATATCTTTCTACTCGTTTCTTCTTCAAATGAAGTTTCCCTGTTACCAAACTTACAACTGACGCACACATTTAAGGCAGTCTTACGTTGGACCATACCATAGCAGGTGAACACAAGGACTGTGAACTGTCCAGGTCTACGATACATTGAGGTTTAAAACTCACGGTAAGTACCTTTGACCAGGGGTGCGCTCTGATCTGGGGGAATTTAAACTCTGTGTAATTAGGGTTCATCTCACGAATCTGTTCCCGAGTGGGTGTACCCAGGACCTTAATGATCTCGACCAACTGGTCCACACCACTGTCGCCAGGGAAAATTGGTTGTCCTAGCAACAGCTCAGCCAATACACAGCCTGCTGACCAAACATCTGTAAATCAAGAGGAGGGTTGTAATGGGGTAGGAATTCTTTTTAATCCCTGGTTATTTATTGGCAATACATATCAGTATTCAATTTGAGAAATGTTACATTTAACTAGTCATCTACAAATACATTAAAATTACAGCTAATTCAGTTCAATGACTTTCATTATTGTCAAACATACGAGACCTGTGGTCCACTTTAACTATTTTTAACATTATCATTACTGTGTAACCTTTTGAATTTTGCTCTTGTGTATTAACTCTTCGCAAAATATGCAACCTAATACCTTGGGACATGGGCTACATTAAGAAAATTATTTCTGTCTTAAACCTGAATAGATATCTCCTACAATCGCCAAATTGGATGCAGTTAATTCAATTATGACATATTCACATCTTAACAATAATGTATGGAGATATCATGGATAATTTCAAAATAAATCCCATTTTATATGGGAGACAACTCTAACAACAGTCATCAGTATACAATGTAATATATCAAGTAAAACATAAAAGTTTATATATGAATTACAATCCTGTTCATAAACACTTACCTATCTGACAAGTATAGTCAGTAGCACCAAATATCAACTCTGGTGCGCGGTAATACCGTGAACATATGTAAGAAACATTGGGCTCTCCTCGCACTAAAACCTTAGCACTGAAATATAACATAGCCTCAGGTTACATAGGATATAATACAGTTGAACCTCGTTATCTCGAAGTCGACAGGGTCGTGGGAGAACTTCGAGTTATCCGAGTATTCAAGTTCATAAATTTGGTATGAAATGCCGTTGGACATAGTTTAACAGTTGTTGATTTTATTAATAACCAATGCTTATAATCAATCGATGAATGATATACGTAATCAATATAACAAATACAGGTATGTAATTTTACAATAAACACGCTTGAGTAAGTGATTTCCGAAAAACGTACTTTCCTTTAACGCAATCAAAACAGTTGGACCATATTATAAATTCGTTACTAAATATGGACGGGCCTAGTGATTAAACGTTGTTATTGGCTAGTCTAGAACCTGGCAAAGCTTTTCCAGGTCTGCAGTTGTATTTGCAAGTCTGTTAAGTTTTACTTCTGAAGTGTTACATCTAAAAATCGAACTATCCCGCTGCCTTCGTCCTCGTACTATACAATAGGGTAATGGAAGTGCGCAAGTCTAAAACAAATCACTGTAATGAACCGTTGATTCCGTAAATGAAAATACACCCAAACATATTATATCGTACATATATGTAACACGTTAATTCATTAAAGCTAAATGTGACACCTGACACCTCCTCAACTCGATGTAATCAACATGTACAGTAATTATCGTATTGTTCTTAAATCTCTCGATCGACTTTCAAAGCCATACTGGCTCCTGTAAAAATATGAACCTGTGAAGCTGTCTTAGGTTGTGATTTTAACTGTGGAACTTTTTGATGCATGACCACGCTATTTTTGTGACCAATTTTACGGTTTGCACTGTCGTCTGTTTTGGTGTACTAATCATTAAACGGACTCGCAGTAAGTACAGAATACTGTTGATCAACATTAATGAAGTTTATTTCTTATTATAAACAACATGGTTTCGGCAGTCTGCACACTTTACAGTCTGAAGTTTTATCGTAATTCTTTTTACCGATTTAGTCTACTAGCGAAATATGTTCATAAACAGGAAATCACAAGATGTCGTACAGTTGTGTTTCATTTGTATCAATTAATTAATAAGTGAAAAATGAATTTGAACACTATGAAGTAGCCGATGTTTTGATGTTGAATTTAAGCTATTGAAACCAATATCTCACTTCAAGGTATCCGAGTTTTTCGACTTTTCATGGTTTGAATTATCAGAGTTTTATTTACTAAGATAAAGATGAGACTTGGCCGGGACCGGAGAAATACTTCCGAGATTAACGTGGTCTTCGAGCTAAAAGAGTTTGAGATAACGAGGTTCGACTGTACAAGCATTGTTATAAGAAATTAAGGTTTATCTTAGTTATCCTTACATGTAACTTCCGTGCGTAACACTGGGTAAATTGCAATGATTTTAGAACCTTCTAAATTTTTTACCAGAATACACACTTTTTACTAAGTACGATAAACCTCCCGTCAGATCAAACAAAATATATATTGTCAATCCTGTACACAAAGTACACAGAGTTATTACAGTGGTTTACTGTAAGTCTGAGAATTGTAATTAGGAAATGTAATATGAATCAAAGTCATGGTTATATTCACCAGAACCCTACGTGGCTTCCTGCTATACTTACCTCCCAAAATCACAGAGTTTAAGAATGCCGGACTCTGGGTCGAGCAGTAGGTTTTGTGGCTTGATATCACGATGGCAGACTCCCTGGCTATGAATGTAGGCAAGGCTTCTAAATAACTGGTACATGTAAAGCTGAAACCAACAAGTATTAGTTGATTACCGGGTAATATTGATATGTGTCCAACTGTTAGAAAGGTGACAGTTTTAGCAGATTTGGAAAAATTCTACAAGATGTATTGTTCAACCCTGTTAGCGTTGTTGAACAATGCAAGGGACTCTAAACAATTTTTTCTTTCTCTTTTTTCGTATTATTTTGTTGTTGTCTTTTATTTTCTTGGTTATTGATTGTTTGAGATAGGTTTTAATGTAAAAGTGCTAGTAATACAAACCCCACTGAAACCTTGATGTATTTTCAGGATCCTGGCGATTTACTGAAGTTGATACATAATAAATCGGAATGGTTTGCTTGGTTTTTACTGAAAGCCTGGCTACTCTATAAACATTTGTTTCTGGGACACACTCACCTTGATATATATAATGGGTATGGTTTGCTTGCTTTTACTGTAATGCCTGGCTACTCTATACACAGTCTCAGGGACATACTCCAGCACTAGATTCAAATACACTTCATCTTTCTGCAAAAGTGAGAGGTTAAGAAAACATTAAAATTTTTAACAATTTTAACTGTGCTTCTTTTTTTTAGCAATTACATAGCATGCAGACAATCCACTCCTACTATATTATGAACTAACATCATGAATGAAACAATGAGCTTGTTAATTTGTTACAAATTACAATTATTAAAGTCTGTTTAAAGGACCTATTTTATGATGTTCCTTTATTTTATTCACTGATTCAGTCCATTAACAAAGGGACTGTTTCTTTTACTGTTTTCCAGTGAATTCATGACTTCAGCAGTAAGTCTGCCCAAACACCATTTACGATAAAGAACCAATCAGAATTTACTCATTCACCCTGAAGACACATTTGAACTCCTCCAATTCAAAAGTTGGAACAGTTCAATATGCAATTTTAGGGGTGAATGGGTAAAAAGGATACTTTTCTGGTTATATTTCATCAATACCGAGTTAACAATGTATGTATCAGAAAATGTTTGCCCCAGTTTCAAATAATGATTTTTCTTTCTCTGTAGGAGAGCTAATTCTTAGATAGTGACATTTGGTACACACCTTATTAGAATAAAGTATTTTCATGCTGAGAGGCAAATTATGAATTTCATGGCATGGGATAATATACTTGTTAATTTTTACAATATTTGTAATAAGCTTTGATAAAGTTTAATACTAACAATAATGAGCATAATTATTTTTACCACCTTATTTCATGTTTGATACCAAAATCGTTCTTTAATTTAGCATCTCATTTCACAATTTTCATGAATTTTGACAAAATCACAAATTTTATTTCTTATTTATTTTACATCAAAAAGAAAACTTCGACAGAAGATCATAAAATATTTGAATATTACTAGCATCCAGTCAACAAATCTCAGAAAAGTAGAAGTAATTAATATTCAAGATAGAGAAATGAGTTCAGACAGATAAATGGGATAAGCGATTTCCTGTCAGATTTCACATCAATGTTAATTAAGGCCACGCATCAGATACTGATTAGATTAACATCAAATAGGCCACTTGAGCCAGAGAGTTCCAAATCATTAGCCATTAAATCACTATAGTAACTCATGTCCTTCACACCTTAATTTTTAATCAAGCTGCAACTTTCTCCGTTTACAATTTCTAATTCTTGTTTGTCTTTGAAGTTTTTCTTCCTTAGAACAAGCGATAGTAACAGCATGTGGTATAATGTAAGAAAGTGTTAACTCAGAATTTCTGTGATCTGTTGTCTTAAGCTGGTATGGATAAGAACAAGGAAGAGTAGGTCAGAGCAAGAGAAAATCAATATTTAGTAAGGGCATGATGGGACATCCCTCTCCCAAGAATCGCACAGAGAACAATATACCTACAAAACACAGCCATTTAATAGTGTGCAGACTCAGAATGTTACTAGCTATATATATATATAGGGTCTTGGTATCTAAATTCATTCTATGAATCTTACTAATTGAGGCACTAGAAGACAATGATTTGAATAGGATTATCTTTAACAGCGTCCTGAGAGCTAGATTGATCTTTACCTACGTACAGCAGCTTAGACTCAGCTATTGCTATTTCTGTCTACACCGTCTACAGTCCATAAAATGGTTTTCTGGAATCGGATTCTTATGGTTAACCTATGACCTAAGATTCAAGTCAAAAGCATGAAGAAAGAACACCTACTATTATTTATATCCCGATAGAAATACTGTTTTTCCTAAGAAATCATGCAAACAATTTTCAAAGTTGAGTTATAATTACTCCCATAACATGAGAGGCCGCTGGTCAGCCTTTTTTCAATCGGATATGATTTTGCCGACTGCGACCTCTCATTTCCGAAGCACTAATTCTTCGATGCAGTTTCCGCCCGAAATCCGGGCGGAACAAAATTGGCTTGAAAAACTCGCATCAGTGGTTAACAGTTCATGACAACGATGTCTACTCACGGTTGATATAATATAGATCTCATATATATGTCACAGACACAAATATATAGTATATTACGGAATACAACACTCAAAATACATGTCCATGTCGTTGTAGCACATCTCTGACCTACATTTAAAACATGGCTTCTGGATTAATACAAAATATCAGGGGGGATTTCAAACGGAACGAAATGATACGGAGTTTGTTTGTATTCCGCTTGTGAAACATTACATGTAATCCATTTTTGTATTAACCGGAAAAATCATGGCAAATGCTGTCTGCTTCGCTTCGAATGAGGAAAAACTCATTATTTATGTCTTCGACATGAACTTTTTCTCATATAATCATGGATTTATGGAAAGGAATATTTATTGGACACTTTTGACTATTTAAATGTATGTAAACACGATATACTCTTTCTTAATCCGAACTTTGAAAATGTGATAGTCAGCATCGGGAAAATCAGCTATGGGCAGTTAGAGGTTACGCGGCGCCTGTCAAAAGTTTTTCGCCGTGTAAAACCTCTAACATTGTTGGAGTAGAGTTATAATATGCTTAAAGATTAAAGTATTCATTCTGAATTTAATTGTCCAAGCCATTCTTAAATACAGTGCTGATTCAAACATTAATACATCTATGGGACACTTTAACATGGAATCACCTTGCTACAGAGGGTATATTTTAACTCTGTGCCTAGAAACTTACCTTATCACCTGATGAATAAAAGAAAAATTTTAACAGGACTATGTTCTGGTGTTCCAGCTTTCTCATGATCTGTAATTCTCGATTCTGAAACAGTGAAAAATATATTTTTAAATCGTATTGACATCAATATCGTCAAGATTGTACTGATGCCATTATTGAATCTGCATTGATGTTTAGTTTAATGTCATTTAATGTATATATTCTAATCGTATTAAAGTTTTTGGGTGCACCCCAAAATGTGGTAATAATCACTAATATCCTAATGTTAATGCTGTGATTAATTGTATTTTGATTTCAACAGGATCGATGTTGTATATATATTTCACTCAGTATATCTTGCATTTTATTGAACATGCACAGATATATATAATAGAAGAATATTTCTGTCCCCCCAAGGAATATATACATTCTATTTTGTTGTAACAAGAGAAATTAAGATTGAAATTCAGCTTCTTCTATAAACAAACTAGGAATACTCCTCTAAATTAAAATATTTAGCTGTGAACAAAAAGTTTACATTGTAAATACCTTAAAACGCCTGTCCTGAAGAACTTTTTTAATGGCGACATGTTCTGATGACTCGACTAGTTTGGCCTGGTACACAACCCCAAAAGAGCCGTTACCTATGACCTTGGCATCAGTGTAGGACACTTCTTGAGGACGGTCAGGTCCTGTACCTGCCGTCGCCACTACGGTCGTTATCTTATTTCCATCTTTGCCTGAAAAAGTGAAAAACACAACCTGTTCACATTTGTGCATTTTACTTTTTAATACTGATATCTGACATTTTCACCTAGTAATAGATAATACTAATTACCGTAATACTGTAACAATTAAGGAGAAAATGACATTATACACAATGACAAGATCAGGAAATTGCATTACGGCCAAACAAAAAATATTTGGTGTTTCGGGAAATCCTTCCTGGCTACCTTACCCTAATTTGTTGTGCCTACTCCAAACTTTTTAGGACAATTTTCATAGAAGCAATGTTAAAGACGTCCAGATCACTCAATTTTATAAAATTTGTTACCTTCCCACCCTAAATTTCTCCAACATGTTACAACTTACAGGAAACAAATATATTTTTTGTCTGGCCTAAGTAAAAGTATATATGAAGCTCAGCTGGATTATATATATATATATGTATTTGTTTTATCCACATTCTTCTCCTTATTTTTCATTTTCTTAACAAAGTAGGAATTTCTTGGATACCAAGTATGATGTACTGAAAATTGTGTTTCTGTTTGAAGCAAAATTGAAATAATCAGTCTCAATTTCATCAAATTTCTGACGAAATTGTGAATGAAAATGATGAAATCTTGCTGGGAACAAAGCTGAGTATCAACCACAAAATGCTCTCGTACAGATGTTTGTACACAGACAGCTTTTCACGGTTTTCCTACCATAATTACATGTACACCAATTCTGATGCACTAATCCTTTTTCCTTATGTCAGTATGTATATTACACGTACATGTTATTACTGCTAAAAAATGTGCAACCTGTTCATTTTTGCATCATCACAATAATATGTAAATGCCTCCTCACTTTACCAGTACAGCTAATCTTACTATATTGGGCCCCGCCTACATATAGCTAGAGATCTACAGAAGATACTGTATTGGGCCCAGCCTACTGTACATGTACACTATAGCTAGAGATCTACAGAAAATGAAATTGACAAATATCTTACTGGTGTTGTACAGGATCTTTAAATTTACATACAGACACAATCATGGATCACCTTACACAGAAATTATTCAAAAGTGCACATTTGCATTTAAGTAACTAATTGTAAATATCAGTACAAAAGAAGTAAATCATAAATAACATGCATATATATATGAGAATTTGCTGCCTGTAGACTTGCAATTTTCCCTGTTTTTTTTACAATGTCTGTACATGTGTGTGGCATATAACTTATACACTGACGTAACTGTTGATGGTGACTATACATACAGCATCTCACTGTTAAATGGGCTGATGTGGATTGTGAAGAAGTAAATTTAAGATAGATTATGAACTGTACATGTATTGCTGTAGACTGTTCAAAAACAACAACTTAGAAGCAAATTAAGGACATTTGGTAATATTTATATTCATTGGATAGTAGTTAGAGAGATCAGCTAGATATATATAAAATGATCTTTATGTCAGCTGGCTCATATGTATGTACAGCGATGAAAAAGACCTTTGGAAGACAGGAGAATTATAGAATTATAGGATTACCAGAAACTAAGATATTTTTTTAATCAATTCTTGTTAAAAAGTGACAGCCAGCTGGGATCATATCATTTAGATAGGTTGATCACAAGATTTTTGCCCCTAAATATTGTAAACTGCCAGTTTCTTTTAAATAGTAAATTCTTCTAAAAAACTTTTATCAAGCATAGGATGATCACCCACCCAACATATCTAGCATCGATTAAAGTTTTGACAAATTACATAAAACCCATCTGTTTTGAAAGCCAGAATAATTTGTGATTAGATCTACCCGATTGCAATGCAGGTCCATGACTGAATTATAAAATCTAACCAACCCAATGCTGAAAGTGCAATTAAAAATTTCTTTACGGCACAAATTACAAAGACACAGGGATGTAGATCAGTTTTAATCAACAAAGAGGCTGATGAACAGAAGTAGAGATCGTCTCACTGCACGATCACCAGCGTCTTGTTCCTTGCATTTCCATAGTTTATTACTGTTACGGAATTAAAAATTTATCCTGCAGCATAGCTTGTATGTCAAGGTAGGAAGGTGGAATCATGCTATTGGTTTATATACCTGAATAGCGTGGATTTAGGTGATTGGAAACACAAACGGCAGCATACTTTCATGTTGAAGGTATCTTTAAAAATATCTCAATTTTCTCGAAGAAGGTATCGTTTTTTTCTTTCAATTAATATATTTTTTCCATCTTTGTAAATGAATGATATAAAACCTCAAAATATACTGCAAGGTTGTCCTAAGACAAGTTTATTAACTATACAATGTGTCGCAGCAAAGTGTCAACATATTTCTAACATGTTTCACTGCAGTTCATTTTTTATCAGTTTTTTTTTGGAATTATTTTTCCTACAACATTATCAAATGTATGTACATAAGACATGAACCCTGACAGCTTACTACATGTGTGGACCAAAACTGACCAGAAAGAAGAGTAATTATAACCCCTCAAAAGTCAATGGAACCATTTTATGTGCCTTGTTAATGGTGATCAAACCCCGACAACGTAAAGGAAATGTAATTTTCTAGTCGTGTGATCACCAGACTACTGATCCGCTGTCAAGTCTGTCTGGGTCCAAAGCACAAGCACACCGAACATTGATTAAAAAGTCTGCTCACATCACCATTCGGCAGCACTGCAAGCTACTTGTATGCATATTGTGTTTGTCTTTACTGTTTTATCAGCCTCCCCGGGTAATTGACTAATTGTTATTCATATGATTGTGATAGCGGATTGCCTACTGTTTACTTGTATCAAAGACATTTACATACATATATACAATAATACAGCCCTTATTTGGTGAGCATTCAATTAAGACAAATGATTCAGTTAATAGCCTCGGTGTTTCTTCAAGGAAAAAAGTGTGTGGGGTTGACATTGAAGAAAAAAATACCTCAACAAATATATGCACTGCAGCATTCTGTAGATCTACAGAACTAATGGTATGGTTTTGTCACACAAATCCACTTTCTATGGAAACAGGAATTTTTTGCATTATATATGCTACTTGGGGAAAATGTAGTCATACTGTTTAAATGTTTTACAGTAAACTTACTCATCATTTTATTAATTCTTGTTTCAAATTGTTCATAAACATTGATTATTTTCGTAACAAAACAAAAGCAAGATTTTTTTCTATTCGAAAAATAATATTGTTCATTTTCACAACTTTTATTTCAACATCTAAACCCTTACATTCTTCTATTACCTACAGTCAGTTTGCAGTATCAGCTTGATGTTTTGATTGAATGGAATGATTATTTTGACAGGTATGTACTATATGAATCAAGTAAACTTGAGGCCTATCCCAGAGACATACACACAGCATCTATCAATTCAAGTTAGGACATTAACCATTGCTTAATATGTCTAATCTATAAAGGGATACAAAACTTAAAGGGTTTTATCTAAATTCAATTATAATCAAAGTTTTATCCCTTGAGTTCGTATTAAGAGACTCGAAGTATGTATCATATCATTTTAACTTGTCCTAGAAAAATCTCCCCTCTGGTCCACACATACACGAGTCCTTTTCACATAAAGCATATTAATGTTGCTACAAATCCAAAGTTATTTTGTAACATAATCACATAAAGGATATTACTACATTGTATTTGGATAAATCTCTAAGTACATTGTGCATCCAGCCTCAGACACCAGGTAAAGCTGATCACTGAATTCGAAGGTAGGTGTGAGAATCAGTCAAGCATGTCTGGCTACAGGTAACACTGTGAATGTATTATAGTGTGGTTCACTGAACAGGATAATTGGCCTACTTCTTCTGTCTAATTAGTGTCAATACATCAGTGTGAGTTCTAGACCTTCAAAGGGAGTCAATCAAAGGGATCAAAGGATAGAGTAGGAAGACAGCAGTACTGCCCAAGAAAAGCATTATGGCGGTCATGTACAACCATTTTACAAAATATAGGATTGTTGATAAGCCCATATTAAACCGAAAAGTATAAAACCAGGCGTTTTTTATGGAAAAACATTGAACACCGTTTTTAACACAATGAGAGATAAAGTACTTTCTATCGCAAGCTGAAAGCTAGGGATACTGTTTTTATCTAACCTAGCTGTTACAAGGAACCAACAGGTGTACACCTGACACTTGATATCTAAGTACAATGTGATAACTCAATTAGCAATTTATTCGTCAAGGATGAAAACAAACCCAAGGAACCTGGATTGGTTAGAGGTTATCCAGGTGAAAAAGAAACTATCCAAGTAGCATACCTAACAAAGCATATATATACATATAAACCATGCTGTAACTTGTAAGACCAGGAGATAAGGAATGTGTTATATCATAGTTTATATATTTCTTAAATATTATCATAAAAAGCACACTTAATTACTTTAGTAACAAAAGATTTGCCCAAGGGAAATGCATTTTAATGCATTTCCTTTGGGCAATGATAAAAACACACATATATGATTTTTTAAATGTAAGATCCTTTAGATCACAGACAAAGCCAGTCTTTGATTAAAATGGTGTTTTTTTACTTGGATCATTTCATCAAGGCGACAAATCATAAATGATTTAGCTAAGGAATCTAGTATATTGTGACATTCGTACTTAACGTGATTACAAATGCCCCGAGATTAAAATTAAAAGAAATGGCCAAAGAGTAAAATTAAAAATATTTTGAAGCAGATAAAAGTGCACTTGATCTTAAATTAGCAGAGTCCAGGCAGGTATATGATCTGGAAATATCTTTTTGAAGCTGGATTGCATCAATAGGGAAATTGGAACTGATGCAGATGTAGAGCTGTCACGGTACACTTTACCCACGATTTGATACGTATCTCGATATTTGAACCACAATTCGATTATTTTGATTCGATACACCTTTGTTTTAAATTATAAACAAAATGAGATATATAAGCTGTCGATACACGGGAACCCAAAGTGTTTCCACACTTTTGATTTGAAGCTTGCCGGAGCATCACAAATTTTCATTTCCTTACAGCGGTCCGCCATTTTGTTATGAATACTTTATGAAAATTGTATCCTTGCAGCCGATTGTGATGGTTTAGAGATCAGCCAATGAAATTGAACATCCCACAGACGTTTCGGCTGAAGCGGCATACACTAATACTCAGATCGTGACGCATCAAAAATCTGGGAAAATACAGCGTGAATCGAATCAAACATAAAAAATCGCGGTACAAGTATATCGCGGTGAATCATGACACCTCTATGCAGATGGGACATAATTATCACCATGACCTATCAGTTTCTTCTCTTTTGCTTCAGGTTTGAAAATATAGGAAAAGGGTACCGGTACTAGTTATAAATATATTTGTTATATCTACGTATACGTACAGCAGAATTTATGGGAATGAGAATGATCCATCTCTCTAGACTAACAATGAAGTTTCTGAATATTTGACTTTAAAGTTTGCTGAACCTTAAGCATCTCTTGACAATTCTTGTACCTATTTTTTATTTTATTATTTCCGGCTTCAACTGAAAGAGCTTTAATAGTTCAATAATTACGAGTGTATACCCATAGTAGAGATGCATTGTTGTCATATTATTTATTCTTTTGCAAACCTTGTATTTCCGTTACGATTTAGCATCAACTTTGAACTGGCTGTTACAGCACATGAACTAACTAAAGATGAACATCCAACCAGTTTTTCTTTATAAGTCAACAATGTATTTTATAACTTGGCAAGAACACTGCGCTAAAAAACAATGTTTCCCCTGACCATGATATCAATCTGTTAGACGTGTTCACTTGTTCTGTGGTAATGTCTATAGTATAATTTGACATTTAGGTTACTCATGACAGACACACGTTCAAAATATCAATCAAACGTTTTTCATAGTGAAGATCTTGTGATCAGTGAGTGTGAATCACAATATCATGATATACACAGGTTTGTATACGTACATTTCAAGTTGTTTCAAATTTGTGTTGCTAGATGCCAGTCTAACTGAATTTAACTTTAAGAAAATGTCTGTTGAGAGTTTGTTATGACAATCGGTTTGAGGAAAGTATAAAAGCAAACCCTTTATGATGTTTCTAGGTAATCTTAACAATCCAAAGTTTGACTTCTAAATAATTATGATAAATATGATAAGTGCTGGTTACCATGTATACACAGTCAATGTCATACAAATAGAGTTTCACTGAATGAAAATTACGTATTCACACGCATTAGTACGCGAAGTTACTTATTACACAATAAATATAGAGAAAATATTCAATTTAGGGCGAGAAACTGGTAAAATACGAGTAACTTCTACAACCATTCTCGACAACAGGCGGTCGCCATCTTGTTTCCGTGACCCATTTCTATGCTACTGATGTAGAATTGACCACTTACTGAACCCCGTTTTCACCCCTCCAAATGAGGCATGAGCACCACTTTTTCCAGCATCGGTTATGGAAGTTGTCCTTGGACGACCACTCATAATTATATGTATTCTTAAGTCATCAAGAGAGAGTACATTTATTCAGTTCCAAGGCCACAATATTACATCTCCCAATGGCGCTCTCGTAAAATTCCGTCGGACAAAATGCCAAGAAACCTGTCGCAGAATCAGCGTTGGTAAAAGTTCACAGCGATTATAGGTCCAAATAATAGTGAAGGAGGGTGTCCTAAGTCCTCCAAAGACATGAATAACAGTTTGATGTTCAAATCCGTCACATCTATTCACTATTTCTCCCGTGTAACCATACAATGGTATGCAAATTTGGTTTCCAATGGCTGATCTGCTTTGACGGATGGCTATCTCCGAGACTTATTCGTGAATTTGCGGTGGTTAGCAGAACCAATCAAAAGCGTCAAATCCTACGACGGGGAAACTCGAACATTGTTCGGCTATTTCCGAGAGCCCACAAAATCTATGACGTAAACAAAAGGTGCTAAATTTATAGACCGAATATGCGGCTAAAAATTAAAAGCTGGATATTTTGATTCAAGATGGTATCACTCTTCTTCTTTGAAGTGTAGTCTACATATTTGGTAGGGACCGTATGCATCGTGTTTATTTAATTCATAAAGATCACAACAGTAAGGAAACTGTTATAACAACACAATGTACTTGATAGTATAGTACAGCGGCCTGACAAGCAGCAGTTCATTTATCGAGGAGCGCTTTCCATTATAAGTAGGCCTAAGTTAGTTTGTGCATATTGTAGTGTCATGAGTGCAAGTTAGGTAACGTTTCTTATACGTGATGTAGTTTAAATAGAATAATTACTTTACATAAATAAACAGTCTTTCCAAGTAAAATTAAAATGTATAAAAATATATATATAAGTGTGTGTTATGTAAAGTGGATAATCAGAAGATCCTTTCTAGGCCTAATTATGGCATTAAAATAAGTTATTTTCATTTCAAAAAATTAAAGATAATAAAACGTTACTAAAGCCATATGCAATTTGATAAGATAATAAGGCAAAGCCTAGATGGGTAAATCTTTTACAGTATGAGTATTACAACATGTAAGTTCAAGTAACAAAAATCGGTTATAGTTTTTGTAAATCAAAGAAATTAGATAGGTGTAAAATATCTAAGAAAGAAATCTAATTCTGTGGTTCTAATATTAGTAAGTATTCTGTAGTAGATGAAAAACTAAGTTTCTCGACTGAGGAAGGACAGAGCAGATGTCGGTCTGCAGCTGTCGCCCCTCACCATTTTTTCTATTGCTTTTCCCTGACAGGTATATCTCAGAATAGGTGTTATAATTGTTGGGCAAGCAGAGATACTCGACGATCATTATGTTTTATTCTTCATGATTGTCGCTTTGAATGAAGGATAAAGTGGGATGTATTAGAAGACATTGTCGAAATTTGTAGAAGGAATTCACAATGGAGGCCTAGCCCAGTTGTTCTGCTAAAACTTACCTTACGTAATCAATGTAGGCGTGAACTTCAAATCCCATTTATGAAAAAGTGACATCAGATATTTGAAGCCTGCTATTATGTTTGTATAATTTCTTAAATTTGGTATAATTTGGAAGCAAGTAGAAACTTCAATATTACATGGATGTTTTATCTGGATTTGTGTAAAAGGTAAAAGGGGTGTACAATTTTGTAGGTTAATAATTTTGAAATCTTCAAGTTTGACGTATATTTAACACTAAACATTTTCACTAGCACCAACATAACATTTACTGGTGGAGGACTAGAGGAATGGTATTACATCCCTTCACTTTCCTGGTTAAATCCACATATATCTGATTTCCACAGGTTCAATTGGCACATGATGCATTTTTCTCACATACTTCACAGGGTGATCCCCTTGTTGCTAGGGAAAAGATTTATAGAATCTTCCCCTACCTTGAGGGTGTGACAGAGAAATCTCCAATCCAAGGGGTGATGCTTTTTGTTGTCTAACCCGAGGCATCGCCAAGGGTTTGACAACCAGAAAAATCACTCCGAGGGTTGGAGATTTCTCTGATACACCCTCAAGGTAGGGGATGATTATTTTTCTTCCAGCCTCTTATTTCAGTCACACCTCCACCGACAGTAGTCTGTTTGTAAACAAAAACACATGGGGTATGAATATCATCATTCATTTTTGATGACGTGACAATTACCGGTGACGCATTTTAATGACGTCACAATTGAACACGTGCTAATCGGCACGAGGCTATCTCACCCTAGGAGATGACAAGCTGATCTTTTCCGGCTAAAACGGGAGACCCACCTGTGAAGGGTGAAAGAATAATAGAATCTTCCCCTGCCCTGAGGGTGTGACAGAGAAATCTCCAACCCGAGGGGTGATGTTTTTTGTTGTCTAACCCGAGGGTTAGACAACCAAACAAATAACCCTGAGGTTTGGAGATTTCTTTGTTACACTTTCAAGGTAGGGGATGATTATTTTTCTCCCATCCTATTATTTCAGTCACAGCTCCACCGACAGTAGTCTGCCATGTTTGTAAACAAAAACAATTGTGGGATATGCATGATATCGTCATTCACTTTTGATGACGTCACAATTACCGATGATTCATTTTAATGACGTCACAATTGAACACGTGCTAATCAGCACGAAGCTATCACACCCTAGGGGGTGACAAGCTGATGTTTCCTGTCTAAAACGGGACATGCCTGTGAAGGGTGGGAGAAAACTCTATCTTACACGGGGTAGGGAAAGACAGCTGACACGTGCTATGACGTCATAATAATGGATTGTCTATGTGACATCATTTTATTGTTTCCGTGATGTCATACAATTGTTGTGAATGGGGAATCATCCGTCTCAACCCTAGGACTTTGGGGTTTGCCGGAAGAATAAGATTGATGTTTATTTCGACTGGAATTTGTTTATTTGTATGTATGTGAGAAAAATAATCAACCATGGGTCTGTTCCGTGGACAGGGATATCTCAACCCTCGTGTATACATGTAAGATTCTATTAGACTACAACACCCCAAAATAGCTGTCAAATGATGATCATTCAACACCAAAAGGGGTCCTAATCCTTTAAAAGTGACAGTTATTGATAGGTAATAGTATATTTGAATGTAACCCTGTTTGTGTAGCACATAGGTCATTTCTACTAGATTGAATGTAGTCTCCCTCAGACTTATTATAAAGACCGGTGCAAAGGGAGACTTTGCAATGAAGAAAGAAAAGGAAAGTGAGAAAAGTAAAAATATTTATTCGAAGAGTTGCAATTCTGTCTTTTCGTATTGCAGAGTTATCTTCTCTTGTGAGCAGGAATTGATTGTTACGTCATTGGTTTGTGTGAGAAAATTAGGTTGTTTTCTCAAAAATTGATGACGTTACCCTCACAAACAAATGACGTAACAATCAATACCTGCTCATAAGAGAAGATAACTCTGCAATACACAAAGACGGAATAGGGGCAGCAGATCTTCTTTTTTTTCAATGCTGACCTCTAAGCAGAAAACACAAAAGAAAAAACGTGATTTTGCAGGGGCACCACATTATTTTTCTTATTTGTTATTTATTTTTCCTTTAGCTTTTAATAAGACACAAAACAGATATTGTCATTTTGGGCCCCACACTATTTACCTGATACGATTATAACATGTAGCTAGTGGAATACAACAGGCACATTCTTTCTGCAAGATTTATAATGGAAGTAAGATACTTCAACTCATTCACCCCTGAAGACACATTTGAATTCTTCAAATTCAATGGTTGGAATAGTTCATTATGAAACTTCAAGGGTGAATGAGTTAAAGAGAAAGTGTCAGTATATTTGAGTCTTATTTTAATCTTCTTTGTTGTTTTTCTTTTGTCAGAAAGAAACAGACTTGAAAAACAGACATGGCGGGTAATATAGGACACAAAGTTGTTATCGATATTAATCTCACCTCTGTTAATGATGTAAAAGATGAGGAGGATGGTGAGGAAGAAATGTCTGACGAAGATGACATCGAAACAGATGATGAGGAAGTGATGTCAGATAATCAGGAAGATCCGCTAGAGGAGATTGACATGTCTTCCATCAAGAGCAATCAGAAAGGTAGAAAAGTGTCCAAAGTGAAACTAGCTGATCGCCCAGTGAGGGAAAGGAAACAAAAGCAGCAGTTTCATTGCTCCAGCTTTGGTTGGTCATACAATGAAAAACGCAAGTTACTTAAAGCTCTTAAAAAGTAAGTCTACTTTACTTAAGTTCAATCTTGACTTGATTTCCAAAGAAAAATGTATTGCTACCTTTTTGTTTTAAAGCTTAAAACATTCATCTCTAATCTGTTATATTTTATTTTAAAGAAATATTTTTTGGATATATTTCTATCATTCTGTTTTTATAGTATTCTTTATTTTATATCAAGTATTGTATGCATCTTAAACATTTCTCAATAGATCTTTTGCAGTTCCATCATTTTTACCCTAGCAGTCAAAAATCAACTTTGTAAACTTGGAAATTTTCAGAGAGGCCAGTATATGTACCTTTGTTTCGAACAATATCATACACACTTGTGCTTTAGGCAAATAACAAAACAAAGAAACAATCATGTTTGCACTGATTTGAAGGAAATGACGATGATATTTTCAAAGATAACACATTTCCTCAAAATTCATCAATAAAATAACACTGCCTGGGTACTTTTTGTGTCACAAATAATCACATGTTATATAAAATATTGTCAATAAAATAAAAACATTGTTTTTGAATCCCCAAACTATAAGGTGTGTGATTATAAGGGGGGGGGATTGTGATCTTTATTTTGACCATTGACATGAATCAAAAGTGCAAAATATAACAGATATATACATACTGCTTGTCCAGAGAAAATCTGCATTAATTAATTCACCTGTGATTATCAAAGTTAATATGCTTGGAAAGACAGTGTCACATAAAGTATAGGTCACTGTATCTTGAACTTTGACCTTAATTAAAGTGTAAAATAAAAATGATATATTGGTACACTTGGATAGGCTAGATGTCGAGTAAAAAAGATCAATGTGACCTACATTTTAATCTTTGACCTTAATCAAAACTGCAAACAATGTGAGATACCGGTTTTCTAGAGCAAATCCTGCACATTTGTCATTATTTCACCTGCAATCATCAAAGTTGGTATGCTGGTACATCTTGGGTAGAAGGAGCGTAATTTAAGCGGATTGTTAGAGAGTTTTCCAGTAATTGTCTGTATGAAGGGAGTCTATACATTAGTGGTGCAGAGTAGCAATGGATATTCTGGTTTCTGGAAGATTTTTACATAAATTAGCCTTTTTTATTGGATACAAGTTCAAATTTAATCCAGCATTTTCAGTGCATGCATTGTAAAGTACTATTCAAATGACAT